AGAGAGAGAGAGAGAGAGAGAGAGAGAGGAGGGAAAGGTCGGCGTGAGTCAGAGTCCAAAGTGGACTGTGCAAACGCGTTCGGCAAACCTGGAGAACTGGTCGTCGCGTTGTCTGTTTACCAGGCGAAATCTTCCCTTGGAGATCTACCGGCGCGGCGGAGAGTCACTCTTTTGCTTCTATTTATAGCTTTCCGGTGCGCGTCGCCGCCGCGGACGAAGCCTCGAACCGGAATAAATAATTGGAAATCAATGGGTACGGCTCGGCGCGGCACGGCGAGCCAGAGTAGACGGATGATTTACGGCTATTGGCGATCGATCGATAATTAATTATTGGATTACCCGTGGAGGAGCCGGGTCAACGAAACCGCGGCGAGGCGAGGCGAGGCGGGGCGAGGCAGAGGGAGGCGAGGGGAGGCGAGGGGAGGCGAGGGGAGGCGAGGTTCGTGTCAGAAGAGGGGGCCGCGCATAAATTTATTCGACCGATGGCTGAACAGCCTTGGGGCCTTATGGTCCGACCAGGCCCAGACAAACGGATGTCTGCAGCCTTAACGCAGCCAGGCGTCCTCTTCGTGGCGGCTCGTGAACGCTCGTGCACGCTCGTGCACGCTCGTACGGTACCTGGACGAGAGACGCGACGTTCGTTCGGCCCTCCAGGTGAAAGTGTCCAGGGATTTCGTAACGAGCCACCGATACCGATTACGTTTGCGACGAGAAATCGTTTCGCCTGGTAACGACCGCCGCGGTTAGAGGCTAATTGGACTGCTTCCCTCCGCGGCTGCCTCGCAAATATTCGATAATTAAAGCGATCGCACGGAACAACGTTTCCGGCAACGCGTTATCCGATGGATCCACGCCTATCTCGCGACCGGATCACGACTAATACCTTGCGCAACCGGGATGGATCCCTGTCTGGTCCAATCTGGAACCCTCGTCCGATTTACTTGTCAATTAGGCTGCTATTGTGCCACGTCCGCGTCTTAAATCCTTCCCTCGACGGTCCGAATAAAATCTCGTTCGATTCCCCGGGCATCGGGGCAGGATCCATTAATTGCCTCGTTCGCTCTACAATTAGCCCGACGATAAACCCCGTGAGTCGACTCTATAATTTCGCCACTCTGGATTTGCCTTTTGCCCGGCGCTCATTTCCAATTCTAAAGCCATAGGTGCAGGAGCTCGCCCGGCAGAAAAAAAAATAAACTGGAGGCGATTAGGATTCGCGCGGGACTAGGACGTGTCTAGGCTCGATTGTTTTTTCCGTTTGTGTCGGGACGATAACGATCGCCTACGCCGCTCGTTTACCGATCCGGAGTCCCGTTAATCGCCGACGACGCGTCTCGAGATCCTCGTCGAGACGGTCGAGACGTTCTCAGAAGTTGAAGCTGCTTTTTGAGTACCGTCGGCGTGGACCGATCGTCGATTTCAGAGATCGGCACGGATCGTTTTGCGGAAGCGACAACTTCCACGGAGCCCCGGGCTCATTAGAACGACTCCCGAGACGCTCCTCTTTCCCCCAGGATAACCGCGGATGCTAATTATAAGCCGCGGCATAATGAAATCATCCGAGGTGCGCGCGCCTCGCGAGCCCGCTGACTTCCTTGAGAACTTTTTCAGCCGGGCCTCGGGAGGAACACCTTTATTAACGGCAGGACAACGAGCTACCCGAGAATTAGGCTCGTGGGATTAGCCGTGCCGAGCGATTACAACAAATTGTCCGTTGATCGTCGCGACCTAACGATCCGAAATCGTTTCGGCTACCTGCAATCATCCGATCCTATCGATCACCGTCGATTTATTCTCTGCTCGATCTACCGAAAGCTTCTGAATTTGCTGGAAGACATAATCGGCTTCTCGAAGCTATAATTTTCACCTTAAGAACAGTCGCTGCGGATACAACAATCTCAATTGCATTTCCACGATGATAGACGGATCCGGAGAACGACGGGCTCTTTAGCATCCGTTGTGGTTCTCTTAGGTGCAGCCAAAATGGCGTCTTTGTAACCGGTGTATTGCAGGGAAGAGGATAAAATCTCAGGTTGCGAGATGTAGTTGCCGGCATTCTTATTTGCTAGAAAACATTCCGCAACGAACCGAATGTCTAAAGATCTGTTATCGTCGCGCCATATTTAGTCTCTGTTTTTCCTCGTCTCCGGGTCTCTCGGGTTTCATAGTTTCCCTAACCGCGTGGCTTGCCTTTTCAAGCGGCCAAGCTAATTCGATTCTCCCTGACCGGACAGGATAGTCAAACGGCCCGGAATACCAGATACAGGAGCTACAGGACATATATTTTTACAAAAATAAATACACGACGTTCAACGCCCTCGCGGTTTCTACCGGTATCCATACAGCCTATGTACAAGCCACGATCCACGCCTGGCGACCATCGATTAGGATCGCTGTGTTACGGTGAATCGTGGGACACACGAAACTCGACGGATTCGCATGGCGCCCCATTGAAACGGGGCTTCTTTCTTCCCCGGTCACGCAAGAACGCCGAAGGACAGGGTGATTAGAATCAGAGACATGCTAACCGTGAGCCTAGTCGACGAGTCCAACGCGCTCTGGGTTAAGATCTGACATTGCGAGCTTCTGAAGTGCTTCACGTTCCCTTCGGAGTCCCTAGCTAGAACGCAGAGCTCGTACTTTGTCCTGGGGTCTTGCAGGTCCTGGATCTTGAAGGACCGCGCGCTGTAGACCAGGTCCTTCTCGATGGCCGACTTGCTGCTTCCGGTCTCGCGAACCACCACGTAGAAATCGCCGATGTCCTCTCGCGAGGTCACGTACCAGGTTGCCTTCCAGCTCTTGTCGTCCTCGTTGCTGAAAATGTCAAGAGTGAGCAAAGAGTTTTCTGAAGTTGTCCAGAGTCGCCTAAAGGATCCTAATTCAGTAATATTCTAGAGCTAGTCGATACACACTATTCGATGTCCCGGTATTTCACATCGGGCGTGATGTCATATTCAGGGTACTCCTTCACCTCCCCGTCGCCGCAGCCCATCAGATCCTCGGTGATCTCAGAAACGGTTTTACCGATTAGGAAATTCGGACTCTGGCAAGTGACGTTGGTCCACTCGTCTGGGATTTCCGTGTGGGTGTTCAGCCATCTCTTGAGGGGCCTGGCGTAGCAGTCGCAGTGCAGAGGATTCCCTGTGGATCGAACATTATCGTAGAGATCGTTTTTAACATGTTCAACGTAATCCGATCTCCTGTACCGGAATATTCCAGCTTCGTCCCGTTCTTTATGATCTTCATGAACGCATCGTCGAACACTCCTATCTCGTTGGATCTCACGTCGAGAAGCTTCAAATTAGGCAGCGGCAGGATTTTATTCAGGGGTATATGACTCAGATGATTGTGACTCAGATACAGATTAGTCAGATTCGCAGGTGGGTCGAAGATGTTCGGCTCGGAGGAGATGTCGTTGATGTCGTTGTAAGAGAGATCCAGCGTGTGGATCGCGGTCAGATTCCCGATCACGACTACGATGCCAAAGGATTCCGTTAAAGACGTTGATCCAATTATTCGTAGGTTCTCGTTACTTACATCGTCTTATATCGTTGATGTTGTTGTGACTGATGTTGAGGACCTGAAGCTTCTTGGCTCCTCTGGTTAGCTCGAAAGTTACGACGGGCATCGTGTTGTACGAGAGATCTATCTCCTTCAGCCTGTAAGGGATCCAAGGATCGTGGGGGAAGGTTTTCTTGGTGATGAATGAGATCTTGTTGTGACTGAGATTCACCCTTTCGAGGGACAAGCAATCGTCCAAGAGGCCGTGGGTCTTGTTGTCCAGGCTCTCGAGCTTGTTGTGCGAAAGATCGAGCGTTCTCAGGGATACCAGACCTTGGAAAGCTCCGTTTGGAATGCGTTCGAGCTTGTTGTCCGTCAGATTTAACGTGAGCAGCTGCAGCAAGCCTTCGAACGCTCGGACGCTCACATTTCGAATCTGATTGTGAGCAAGATTCAGCTCGAACACGATCGGCAGGCGTCCGAACGCCGATTTTCCCAGCTCCGTTAACTGATTGTCCTGTAATTGATACCCACGCTTAGTACATCGATCGCTGGCGCAACCCGAAATGTTTCTGTTAGGATGTACCACCTGCAGATGAAGATATTGCAGGCTGTTCAGCGTGCTGAGCGCCTCCCACGGCGGTTTCGTGATGTTGTTCGATTGTAGATCGAGAGACCTCAGGGTCAGCAGATTCTCGAAGCTACCGTACTTCAGGTTGTCCCCTAATCGATTCTTCGAGAGGTCCAGAGACAGAAGAGCGTTCATCGAAGGCCACACTTCGGTGATCGGTATCTCCTCCAGCCAATTTTCCGAGAAGTCCAAGGCTGCCAGAGAAATTGGCAGCTGGAAGATCTTTGTTAGACGGTTGTTCTTCACTGTCAAGGTCCTGGGAACCCATAGATCGCGATCGTTAATGTCTATAGATTACTTGGATCGAGTTTTCATCGATTCTGTCGATCACCTGCAGCTCGGCAGCCTGGTCAGGCTGCCCCTGGCAACGTCGTTCAACTGATTGTAGCTCATGTCTAGGTCCAGAAGCGTCGGCAGCGGCCCGAACATGGAGGGTTTGATCTTTTCCAAGGAGTTATGCGACAGGTTTAACAACCGAAGGCTGAACAGAGTCTGAAAGATAGCGTTATGGATCTCCGACAGGTTGTTGTACGACAGATCGATCGTGTGCAGTTCGTACAGCTTTGGGAACGTCTGGCGGGGCACCGAGTGGATCAGATTGTGAGAGACGTTCAGTACTTTCAGGCCTGTCATGTTGTGCAGCGGCACCTGCAACGATCAACACCCTTCGTCTACAAATTTCTTAATCGTTCGAGACTCGACCGTTCGATTTTCGTTCGACTTCTAAACGATACCTGGTTCAGGGAGGTGAACCGATTGTAACTCAGTTGCAACTCGGTGGCATAAGTCGAGCTATCGAAAGAGAACTTGGAGATGTTCTCCAGCTTGTTGTGGCTCAGGTCCAAGACAGTCATGTTCACACAGTTCTCGAACGCTCCAGGTTCTATCTTCGAGATCTCGTTGTGAGATAGGTTGACCTTCGCCAGATAGAGATCTTTGAAGGATAATTTCTCGATCACTGTGACAAAGTTCTCCGAGACGTCCAGCAACTGGAAGCCAGCAAAACAGAGGATCGATAGATAACGGAAACTCTAGGAACAACGAACGGGTCGTACCTCGGCGAATTGGAGCTGATTGAACATCTGAAAGTCGATCTTTTTGATGAAGTTCCTAGCTAGGTCGATGGTCCCTATCCTGGTGACCGGGCCAAAGGTTCCTCTGCCCACGTCGTTGATCTGATTGTCGCTCAGGAACAGTCTGATCAAGAAACGCATCCCGCGGAATGTGTTCGAGTCGAGCTTTCTGATCTTATTGTGGCTCAGGTTGAGCACTTTGAGCAGAGAGTTCCGCGCGAACGTTCCCCTGGCGATCGACGAACCAAGGTGAGAGAGAGAGAGAGACAAACCGAGAGATCGCATCCCGTTGAATTCGATCGAGCGATACCTACCTCTTCAGATCAGAGATCGCGTTATGGGACATATTGCACCAGCCCATCTTGGTCAAGTCAGCCAAATGCGAGCTGTCCAGTTTGTTGATCAAATTATGGGACAGATCGACGTACTCGGTGTCCCTCAGCCCCTTGAACTGATTCCGTTTCAGCTCTTTGATCTCGTTGCCGTGCAAATCTAGCCTCTTCAGCTTCTTCAGAGGCGTCAATGCTTCCATAGGCAGCGAGGTCAGAGTCCCTGCAAAAAGAGAAATAGAAAGTCTCGAGGAAAATCGCGCCTCGGCTTCCTTTCGCGAAAATCAGTACCATTGCTAATCTCCAATTTCTCGATTTTTGCGGCCGCGGCGCTCTCGGCGAACGCGTCGACAGGCAGAGTAGACATCCGGTGGCCGGCGATGCTGAGAAGGCTGAGGTTCCCTAGGATTTGCAATGCTTCCCGCGGAAATTTCTCCAGGGTGCTGTTCACGATGTGGAGTTCCTGGAGCGTTCTGTTCACGCCGAGGAAGCTGTGCTCCTCGATGAGTCTCAGCGACGTGTCGATGAACCTCAGCACCCGGACGTCGAGGGGATAGAGCGCCGGTCCGTAGAAGCGACCTTTCAATCGATTACGATATCAGACTCGACTCGTCTCGCCGAGGCAGCGATCGTTCGAGCCCGATCCTCGGACTCACCTATGTTACATTTGTACAAGACGAGCTCCTCGATGGGCATTCCCTCGTTGCCCAGGTTCGAGAAGGCCAGGCTGAGGCTGGCCAGGTTCGTGTTCTCGCAGCGAACGTACAGGCCCCTGTCGCTGCCCCTCAGACACACGCAGGGGTAAATGTACTTGGTCTCCCTGGGACACCTGAACCGTGGCCCAGGCGGGACGTACTCAGCCATGGCGGGCAGGACCCCGGCCCACAACAGCAACGGGAAAAGAAGTATCATCTGCTCGACAGACAATGGAGGTCGTGGAGATCCTGTTTAAACGCCTCGTGCCGTTCGAAGGCGCGAGAGTGTTGACCCGCGATGAAAAACGGGCAACGATAATTACTCCGAGCGGTATAAATTTGATTAGTCACCGGTCCTGTTGTAATCGCGCTATTTTGCGCGAAACGTGAGAAAGTTTTCTGCGGAGCGCGCTCGCCGATTCGCGCCGCGATAACGCGCCTATAGGGCAATTAAAATTTTCCCCGATTCGAAACGAGATTCTCGGGATCGATCGGGTCGCGATTTCCTCGCCTGGGAACCGTGACCGGCGTTACGAAACCGAAAGAATCGGCAGAACGATTTTCGGTGTCGACGTTCCACGTTCGGGACATTGGGGACAGTTCGACGGACGTTTTCGAGCTGCTCCGTGGAACTCGGGGGCCAATAGGCCACGCCCACTCGGAGCGGGCCACGCCTGTTCCACGCGGACAGAGACAGCGAGGTCCGCGATATCCTGCGATCCGAAGAACCGGGGCGAACGCGGAGCCTTGGTTGCTCGAACCGGAGATGAAACGAGAGAATTTCGTGGGCGCGTCGCCGACGGCGAGGCGCGACTAATTCGTTCGCGGACCGACGACCATCGTCCGAGACGACCGGACGAGATGGCAAGGGCCGGGACGCAGCGCAGCGCGGTAGAAACAAAGAAAGTCATAAAGAGACGAATGACCTCGTTGCAGCCGCTTCCTTGGGCCACGAACACGTCCACGAGGAATCGCGTGCGGCCGCTCGCACAGCAGCTATCCTGCGCGTATCTCTTCGAGAGGCGATCCCGGCTGACAATTCCACCCACGAGGTCGCCGCGATGCAAGATAAATCGATGGCCCGTTCCCGGACCGAACAATTACCTCGATTGAGTATCGTACGAGCACCGGTGACCCGATGGGCTCGAGTTCCGACGTGATCGGCCCGCGGGGATCGGCCGCCGATGATCGCCGCGATGATTCCCGATAGACCGGGCTGAATCGAAGCGGAGGAACGACCGAGACTGTACTGTTGACGCCGTTGGCGGGCGGCCGTTCTGCCGGCAGCCTGACGGAAAGTGAAACGAACGGCTCTCGCGATTCTCGCTCGAATGCAAATACTTTCCTCGGGATTAGCGGGTTCCACGCGGCGCGGTTCGCCATGGAAACGGCCCGGGACTGTTGTTGCGTGCCTGCCTCGATTTGCCTAAACGAAACCGTTCGCCGTGCTCGGGGAACGAGGGCTGTAATTGGAATATCAAAGCCCGGGGATAATTGCGGCAGTTCGAACGCTGCCGTGGAAAAATTGCAAAGCGCTGGCTCGGACACGACTGTTAGCGTCAACGCGCGTCGATCGGTCGCCACGCTGTCTCAATCCGTTTCACGACAGGGATCCGCGACCAACCGGTGCCGTCCAATTGCAAGACAAGAAAGTACATTCGTCGAATGTCAGTCGACTTTCTCGATGAGATTTTCCCCGGCTGGCTCGTTATTTGGATGGCACGCTTGTTCTTACGTACCGCTTCGAAGTTTCTCGGAGAGAATCGCGACGTCGCGTGATACTAAAAATAGAGTCGTAACTCCTTGGAAGGTCTTCATCGTTTCTTAGGCAAGAAGAGGCTGTTTAATAGTTTGCCAGACTGCACGGTACTTGCTCCGGAGCGATTAACATGAGATTACCGAGTCACGAAGCGGTAATATATTCAAAATCTCCGTAGAATAGACGATTTTTATCGCGTTTCTTCACCGAATATGGAACTATTCGCGGTCTAGAAACGTCGCAGCGTTCCCGCGAACCGTTAGAATCGTGGGCAAGACAGCGGCGAGGAGGACGCTTAGGGCAGAGCGTGGGCCAGCGGCGACCATGATTAAGAGTCGGGAGATTCTCGGTTCGAGGATCGGTGATGCGCGAAGGCGATCGCAGGCGGTGGCCTTGAGGAGACGCGTTTAAGCGGGTCGATGAGTCGAGAATCGTGACGAGAGACGAGAGACGAGAGAGGAGAGAGGGAGAGAGGCGAGGCGATCGAAGGAACGCGGACAGGGGACGGCTACCGATTTGGCAGCGACGCGGTAGAGTGTCCGGCGAAATTGCCGAGGCCCAGTGACCTGCGACACGAATCGTCGCGGCTTATTACGGCTCCAGTAATCTAGTAATTCAGCGAGCGCGAAGGCAAAGAGAAAAGCGCGGTGATCTAGTTTCGCCGCGGGTTTATGCAACGCGTAACATAAGCGTACCACGACAGCCGGGCATAAACACGTCGCTTAGGCGAGCACACGGCCGATCGTTTCCTAGGAAGCTCCGCAGGAATTTTTTGAGCGCGGATTGCGCAATTTGTTCGGTAAACAAATGCGGTGGAAAGCGATTACAGAAAACTGGAAAGGAAGCTCCTGTTGTAACGCCGATGCAACCGACATTTCCTCGATACACGGCCCGACTATGCGCCGATACCGCACGCGGAACAGAAACACTCCTTTCACTTGTACGAAGTCGACCTTAGGAATCGCGACAGGCAATGAACCGAATCCCCTCCGACTGTCCCTGCCGCGTAAAAACCGTAAAAAATCGACTTGCACCGGTTCCGTTGACGTAACGCAGCATTTGACACCTGGTATTTCTCGTTTGATATCGGCGCGGCCCGGAGAAATCCTGGTCGAAAGTAAAGCGTTTCGCTCGCGGCCCGGTCCCCGTGGATCGACGATCGAGAAGGCGCGAAGATCTCGCGAGAATAATTGCCCGCGAGATCCGAGAGACCCCGTGAGAAAGCCGGTTTCCGTTCCGCGATCGCGGAAGGAATAATTGATGCGCGAAGAAAATACAATAAAACGCGCTCCACTTTCCGCGCGGCAATTAATGTTATTAGAAGAGCGAAGCGCGGCAGGGGAAAGCTCGAATGATCTAGAATAATGTCGATTGTTGGCTCAGACTGGGTCCCGTTTAGTCCTGACACCCGTGCGGAGGGGAGAAGAAAAATGGAATTGTGAGATCGCGATTGTACGTTCCTCTATGGTTCTTTTCTCGTGCGTCAACCGTGCCCAAGGATATTTTCGTTTCACTCGACGGCCTTCGGACCCGGCTGCGAGCTACAGTTTTAGGAAAAATGCGGCTATTTCTGGTTAGCGAACCGATTCCGGCCGATCGGATTTCACGAACCGATAGATTTGCATCGATCGCCGTGAGACTCTCGTCATTCGAGCCATTCGAGACTCGACTATTTTTGTCTACAGTTACGAACTAGGTCTTTTCCGGTACGAGGTATTCGAATAAATTAAGATTAATTAAGATTGCGGGGAACTCTGTTGTCCGTATGCAAATCAGAATCATATTATTTTGCACGAAAGTCTACAGTAGAGCGTGAAGCGACTTTCTAGAATCGGTGTGTCGTCGGATAGATTCTCTATTCCCGTGGGATCTTTTTAATTTACACGTTGATTCGTGTTTTTCATCGATCCGCGTACATCTAGAAAGAGAAAGGAAGCCGAGGCGACCGGAGAATGGCCGATAAAACGCGACAAAAGTGAAGGAACATCGATCACGAGTGGAGAATCCTAAGCGGTGTCTTATCCGCGCATTGAAATCACCACTCGGCGGAGCACGTGTTCGGTGACGCACGATATAAACTCGTCCCCTGTTCCAATTCCTCTCAGGATCGTCGCGCAGAGACGTCGACGAGTTGTCGGAAGAGTCTAATCCCGGTTTACGATATATAATAGAATGGAAAAGCTCGAGCTCGGTCAGCGAAACCGTGACAGCCGCGAGATGGAACGCGGAATGAAAACGCGAGAGATCGTCTCGCGGAATACCTTGTTGCACTTTAGCCCACAGAGCGGTCCCGAAAGCACGATGACAGTCGTTGGTTTTCGGACGACCTTGTCCCCGAGTCACATATTCGTCGTGGTTGCACCAGTTGCGTGTTTCCGTGGTCTCGCGCGCGCGCTGCGCCGGTAACGACAAAGAAGAAGAGAAGAGGAGAGAAGAATGCACGAGAACGTTTCACCGCATCTCCGGCTTCAAGACATTCTGCCAGTGGTTCCTGGATGAGGCTGCCGTGAAAACTGAGCCGCTGCTCGCAGCTGAAGAGAAAGGCGGACCGAGCATGGCCTCCCTCATTGGCAGTTGATACGCGCTGTCCTTTCGTGGACACGCGGCTCTCGAACTCGGTGCCGGGAACATTTCTGCGGGACTGAGACGTTATAGTCTCGCTTCATTGGCCCCGGCTGGCCAGGGCCGTAACCAAACGGCTCAATTTATCCTCGGCGATAATTAGGTCGCTACGTCTCTTTCGCCCGAATCGTCCAGCCTCTGTTCAAATAAACGGGTCATCGAGATATCACGGATGAAGAATTCCATTTTTATTATTCAACGGGACTTTTCAACATTTTGCTTCTCTACCATACGGAAAGACACTGTCCGAGAAGAAAGTTACCTGGAGAACGCTATTGGTCCGCCAGGTGAAAGTCCGAGTTACCTGGTCGTTCGTCAGGCAGTGACATCTGCCGGTACCTGGAAATAATGGTACCAGAGGGTACGATCGATGATATAGTCGGCGAATGATTCGGACCGGTGGATCAATGATTTTATCAACGACCGATCGACCAGGGAAGATCGACGACGAAGAATGATTCTTTAAGGACGCGCACGATCACCGCGCGAGTTTCTTTGAACTATGTTTGGAGTGTGAAACAATTTCCAACATGAACGTCTCGCGAAACAACCGGACGCGCCGGTTAGACATCGTTTAGATCTCAACGAGGAATTACACGGTCATTAAGGCCGATAACTTCCCGGAGCAGCGCGGTTTACGAACCGACACAGTCAGTTGGATCGCTGTTGGATCAGTCGAGCACAGAGCCGTTCTGCAGGATCTGCTTCGCGATCTCTGAAGATGGGCGATAACGTAGTCGTGCTGGTCAAATGGATTCTGCTGCTTCGTAAGTGAAAAGCGTAATTTTATTGGCACCGTTTGTTAACGATCGCTTTGCAGGAACGGCGATCGCAGTCGTCGCTTTGCCGACTCGGGGCTACATGGTAGGGAATGTTCTTATTGTAAAGATCGGGGCCGTAGAAATTGTGCTTGAAAATATTTCGTTTCGTTAAGGATCGACAGCGATTGGAGACGTACGAGGAATTGTCGGAGGAATCCATCGATTTCGATCTTTTCCGCAATCTGACCTTCCGATTCTCCTGCGAAAGCAAACCGATCGGCTTGTACGCCGATCCGGACTACGACTGTCGAATATTTCACGTCTGCGATCACGGGGAAGAAGGATTTCCAATGATCTGTCCTAATAACACGATCTTCGATCAAAGAGAACGCGTCTGCTCCGACGAAGGGCCGATAGACTGCGAACACGCCGAAGAATGGTATCGCGGTCTCGTTACTCGCAGTTTATCACCGATACTTTTTTACATTACACGAAGTACAATACGCGTTATTTCAGGTTCTACCTGAACGAGCTGCCCTACTCTGTAGAGGTATCGGAGGAAAATGGCACAAGGGTGGACGAGAGAGAGGAGATTCCTTCCGTGCTGCCTCTTCTGCTGTCGTGACACGCGACAAGTTCCATTAGCCGCCTCTGTACTCAAAAGGGACGAATAAAAGAAACCAGTTTGCCGTTCGAACCACGCGGCAAATTAATACCCCGTCATGCATCGGCGCTTGTTAACACGATTCTCGCGGGAATAAAACCAGCCTTGCTCTTTGTTTTACTCTGCTCGAACGCGCCAGCTTTTTAACCACCCGATAAACTTATTAACGCGCCGATCGCCTCGCGAGCCGCACACGTTCCTCCCCGTGATCGTAAATGAATCCTCGATCTTCGTATCGCCATTTCCGTAAATTACTTCGATCTTGAAGACACTTCTCGGGTTTTCAACGGGTTCAACGCACGATCCCGCGATCCTGGCGTCGTCGGATCGACGACGTCCGGTCGGTAAAAAGCGAGGCCGATCGCGAGAAAAAGAGTAATCTCGGGTTTATTTCAGCCCTGACCTTTCGAGACGAGCCCTGCGGGTCCTCGAGGTCCGCCGGTTTCCGATTGCTGCGGGCCCCAGGATTCAATGAGGGCCCTCTCTTCTTCCCCGATTCTTTTTCTCCTGCTGCTAAACCGTACGATCGCCGGCAATTACGTTGCTCGGCATCTCGAGATGCTTATCCAGCGCAGTAAAGGTACAAAGGAATTGTTCGAGGCAGATGGAGAACGAGGGGTGCGTGGATTCTCAGTCGTTTATTTTTCGTAAACGTAGAACCAGCCGCTGTCTTACAAGCTAAGGGTTTTATAATGTACCGAGCCCGCGACCGGGCTCGGCCTGCATGATTGAGCGGATCGAGTATATAGAGATCGATAAAAGAGAGAATAGCGTAATGGAGAAACAGCTAGTAACCCGTCACCCGTGTCGCGAAACCCCAGAGGAACGAACGAAGTGAACAGGACCCGAGCGGTTCGTTCCTAATTAGTAATCGAGTGTCTGTGGTCCGTGCTTCTAACTAGAGGTGTCTACGCTGCCGTTCGCAAGTATCTGTCCTGCCATAGGAAAAAAAAACGTCGAACTTCTATCGTCCTAATTTAACCTTATCTTATCGCTTCTCTTTACGCGTGTTTCGAAGAACAGTTTTTTCGGAACAGCCGAAGAGTTACTTGCGAGCGGCGAAGAAGATGGGAGACAGTGGCAGCGGCGATGACCGTCGGCCACGTTCGGAAGAAAATTAAAGCTAGCCCAATAAACGTTCACTGTTTAACATCAGCCTGACGGAAACGATCAACGAACTCTGGAACGATCTACAGTCTCCTCTTAATCCTAGAAAGACCAACTACGATCCTACGGGAATGCTATAACCCTAGAACCCCGGTGTCGATGAGAAACGCGTCCCGAATGGTGCCCAGAAAGCGAACGCGGGTCACCGGATGCTCGTTACCACCCATTCCTTATATCCCTATAGGCTGCAGGCTACAGCCAGCAGGTCGAATTTCAACGACGTCGAACGCTGGGTCTTCCACGGTGTACTCTAAAGCTGATAGTCTCAGTTACGAGGCGTCGGCTTACAGTCCGCGATAATGAGAATTAGTGGGCCAGGTGATGCCCGGCCCGATCTTATGATTATCGTAAACGTATTTAATCTGAGGGTGATTGTTCGCCCCGAAGAAGGAGTCGCGGATCATCGCGACTATCGCCGAGCCCATGGCCATGTTGCTGATTATGCCAGCCATCGAGGCGGCGGCCTTCGCGTGGGTCACCGCCATTTGCAGCAGGAACGAGAAAATCAAGCCCAGCCCGGGCATCATCTGCATCATCTTGTTCTTCATAGCTCTGCCGAGGTGCACGATGGAGTTGGTCATCTTCTTCGGCAGGAACTCCTCGTCCAGTCTTGGCAGCTTCACTATCAGGCCCGACTTCTTGTCCTTCTCGACCCGATCGTCCGCGATCTTGTTGTCCTCGATCTCTTCCAGCCTCTCCTCGAAGGAGTTGAAGAAGTTCTTTTCCAGCCTCTCCTCCAGGAAGGAGTTGATGAAGTTCTTCGCTCTCTCCTGCCTTTGTCTCTGTTCCTGGTCCCTGGAGGGCTCTTTCTTGAGGTCGTACGTTGCCTGGCTACCCAGCGGCAACAGCTTCAGCTCCTCCGCGCTCTTCCGAGACTCCAAAGAAAGGATGTCCACACCCTTGTTCTCCTCCGGCGAAGTCTCCTCCAGACTTCTCAATTTATGGTTAAAGGTCTGCAACTTATGAGCGAGCCTGCTGTGAGCGAACCTTGGACCGAAGAGGTCTTCGAACGCGTTGTACGCGTCTTCGAGGCCGAAAAATTTGCCGTCGTCGCCCTCCGGCTCCGTGTCGTTCGTCCTGATCTTGTCCAGGAACATCGTGATGATCTCGTCGTCGTTCAACGACCTCATGATGTCGACGTACTGCTCGGTGTCCTTCAAGAACTGGATCTCGCCCTCTCTGGAGATGTCGATGCTCTTCTCCTTCTTCTCCTTGTCCCTCCTCGGCTTCTCGGACTCGGGTCGCTGGTCCAGGACCTCTTCCATGATGTCGCTGATGATCGTCAAGATACTGGGCAGGTTCTTATTGTCCTTGAGCTTGGCGCCCCTGCCCTCCCTGAAGCCGGAGAAGCAGATGCCGAGCTCGCCGTTCCCGTAGCCCTTGACCTTCAAGAAGCCCAGGTTCGTCTGAAACTTCTCCTCGACGACCTGCTTGTACCAGTCGAGCAGGTACTGCTCGATCGAGTCCTTCCTCTGCAGCATCTCCTTCTCCAAATCGGTCGTCGACATGCCGAATAACTCCTGCACCTTGATCTCCGTGTTCATGCCGCGACCTAGGAACCCGAGGACGGGGAATTGGCTGGCGATCAAGGGCCACACGAAGATCCCGATGCACCTGATGAAGCTGAGACCGGCGATGCAGTTGATCACCTGCTGAGCGATTCCTCTGCCCTGCACGGGGTCCACGTCCTCCACGACCTTGATGATCTCGTACTGATCGGCCGACAGAGCGCTCCTAACCGTGTCGTTCAACGTATCGGCGAAGTAGCTCTTCGGCTCCGAGCTCGATTTGCTGCGCGACCCCGCGATCTCCCGCATTTCGATCAAACTCTGAAGGTACTCGGACTCCGAGAAGTTGAGAAACTCTGCGGACGATTCCCAAGAGTCGGATGATTCGACGGTCTCGTAGTAGGTCTTCGTCGCGTCCACGCTCCGGCGTTCTCTGCTCTTGACTCCCGACTCCTTCGTTCCTGCTGTCAGCTGAACGATGTCGGCAAGCTGTACCTGCTCCTTCGAGATATCTACGAAGATGCCCGGCGGTTGGCCTGCGTACCCGGGTACCTCTCCATCGTTATCTACAAACAGAACCAGGTCAGAGATCACCCGGACTACCTAGCTGAACGTTCTACCAACGACGGATTCACCTACTGACGGCGTAAACGCTGACGATCCTTGATTCGATAACAGCTGGGCTTCGGCGGATGCTTGCGACGATTGTCCCGAGACCTGTAGGGTGATCGCTGGCTGGGGAATTCCTTGCGGAAGTCCGGCGGGACGCTCGTAGAAACCTGGAATAGGCTGAATATTCGAGGGCAGGTCTGACGGAGGGAAAGGACTGACGGATATCGGACGATCCTCCGGCGATTTGAAGATCTCCAAGAAGTCTGCCAGAAAGTCTGGACGGTTCCGTTGCACGGTCGGCCACGTGATATTCTGCGTGCAGCCAACAAAGTCGTACTCCTTCGTGCATTTTTCTATTCTGCCGATGTACGCCGCCCTCTCTTCCGCCGGGATGCCCAGTTCCGCGAGCTTCACGATGTTCTGCTGACGTCTGGTCAGATGGGACAGAGAAGGGTTGCCGACGTCCAAGTAGGCTCGCTTGAGATCAGAGTCCCTGTTCAAAGCGTCCACCAGGATTCTCTCTATCCTCTCCTCGACCTTCTCCAATGCCAGTCCCTCGAGGTTCAGGTTCTCCTGCGAGGGCAGAACCTCGATATTGGAACCCTGTGAATTTTCCGCCAGGAACATCTGAAGCCTGATCCTAGGTATGCTCTGGTAGCCACCAAAGTTCGGGAAGCTCGGTAGCCAGGGATAAATCTGCGCGATCGTCGGCCAAGTAACGTCCCTGACGCACTGCAAGAACACCTTGTCGCTCAGGCAGGATCTGAGCCTGTCGACGTAACTGGCTCGGGTGGAGAGGGGTAACAGGTTCTCAGCGATATTCAAGATGTTGACTTGCTGCTCTGTCAGGATTTTGAGGAAGTCCTGAGACCTGGTTGGAGCGTTAGGAGCCGAGAGGTTCGGGATAGAGAGCTGCACGGCCTTCAGGATGTTGAGGATTACCGTTTCGGGTAGCTCGTTGAAGATCGGGACGAATCTGGTGTCGGTTATGGTCACTTTCGTGTCCCCGTGCTGTCCAGTCGTGACGTCCGTCTCCGACAGAGGAGGAGCGTCGGTGCTGGAGCTGGGTTCCGTCAGGTTCTGCTTGTTGCCGTCGTCGGGAGAAGGGCCGCTGCTGGGACGATTGGTTATGCTGCCGAAGTTGGGGAAGCTGGGCAGCCAGGGGAAGTAGCCGGACAAGGTCGGCCAGATCACGTCCCTGGTGCAGATCAGGAAGTTGTTCACGCGCAGACAAGCGATCAAGTTGTTCGCAAACTCGTTGCGAACGCTATCCGGCAGAAGGCCGTCCACGATGTTCACGATGTTCGTCTGCTGCTCGTTCAACAGGTCGATGAACTGCTGGTTCTTGGTCGTCGAAGGGCTGCTGGCGCCGCGATTCAAGTTCAGCGACTGCAGCTGCACCGAGCGGACGATGTTGAGGATCACGGTCTCGGGATGCTCCGTGAAGATCGGCACGAATCTTGTCCCGGTCACGCTGATCACCGGGACGTTCTGCTGGCCCTTGTTCCTCGACTCCTCGTTTTGGAAACGGTTCGCGATCACCTTGTCGCTGTCTCCTCCGGAGATCACGCGTTCCTGCGGCTTTTCTCCGGGACCGGCGGACGGTTCCTTCGACTCCGGCGTCGCCTGAGCAGCGCCGATCGGCTCCTTGCTCTCCAACGAAGGGAACGCGGGCAAATTGGTCACGTACCTGATCAGCGTGGGCCATATCACGTACCTGGCGCAGTCGATGAAGTTGTCGCTCCTCTGGAGGTACACGATCACTTCGGTCACCAGACCTGGCCTGGCAATGGATGGTATCAGGGACTCCGACAGTCGGAGAATATCGAGCTGAGGTCTCGTGAACCTGGTGAACATGACCACGTTCCCGGTGAGAACGAACGGCGTGATTTCCGGGGTCCTGCCGATGGAGCTTTGAACGTCCAGCAGCATATTTAAGATCTTCGTCTCCAGCTCTTTGGACGACTGCAGGGTGTCCGGTCGATCTTTCAGCAGCACGAACGTCGGGCTGTCCGGCTGCTCCGAGGAGTCTCCGAAGGGCCAGTAAGAACCCAGATCCGGGACACTCGGCAATGAGGGGATGTAGTCGACGATGTCCGACCATCCTGGAACCTGAAAGTCGGGCAGAATGCCAGAGATGTCTGGGAAATTGGGTATGAACTGTCTGACGGTGGGCCAGGTCGAATACTTGATGCAGGCCAGGTAATTGAACTCCTTCATGCACTTGACGGTTTTCTGGACGAACTGCGGCCGATAGGCAGCTGGGATCAGTTGCTCGGCCATGCTGATAGAAAGCAATTGGTCCTGAGGTATCAAAGCGATGTAAGAGTCCGCGGTTCGGTCGATGAAGGACGGCGAGGCCGATAGGCGTGGCTGCTCCTTCAAGGTATTCTGGAGAATCTGGATGATGGTAGCCTCGGGCTTCGGCCTTCCAGATCGCGTGCCGTAGGCGTCGACGACTTCCGGCAACTCGCCGACTCCTCCTTCCATAATTGGGAACGGGACGATCGGATATTGCGGGTACTGCGGGTATTGCGGGTACTGCGGGTACTGCGGGTACTGCGGATGCATGTCGTAGATAGGGTACCAGTTCTGATAGTCGGGGAACGCCGGCAGAGCCGGGAAATACTGCTTGATCATGGGCCAGGCGAAATACTTGATGCAGCTGAAGTACTCGAACCTAAGGAGGCAGGAGAACATACTGTTGGAGTATTCCTGGCGCAGCGCCTGCGGCAGCAGCTTCTCCGCCATCAGCAGGATGTGCAGCTGGTCCGAGGTGAGCAGGTCGTTCAGCGTCTCGTTCTTCGGGTCGACGTACGATATCAGCGTCTGATCAACGGGATACGTATCCAGAGCATCTTGCAGGATGTTGTACACGACGGACTCCGGCGTGATCAGCTTGACACGGTGGATGCTCTGGGCCCTGCCCGACTTCGGTTTGTTCCCCTGAAACAAGTCAAACACATTGACCTCGATTGGTATCGTCCCGTAGCTCGGGAGATAGTTCGCCACGACCGGCCACACGAAGATCCTTATGCAGTTGATCGCGCTGAGGCCGCGTATGCACTCCACCACGTTGGCCGCGAAAGACTGACGCTCCCTGACCTCCAGCAATTGCTCCGCGCACCCGAGTATCCGCAGCTGCACATCGGTCAATCCGAGATCCTTCGTGTTACCCAAGTAGGAAGTGCTCGAAGGCTCTATCTTCTTCGAGGACGCGATCTGCTCTAACACGTCCAGCAACTGATTCTCGGTGAACTTGGACAACTCCGGAAGCAACTCGGCAGCCTGCTCTCTCAGGTGTAACATGGCTGTCTTGTCCCTTATCCGATCCTGAAGCGCCACCGCCTGATCCTTCCACTTCTTATAGGGCGCGAAGATCCCTAAGACTTGTCTAGAGTTAAACGGGTTAGTAGCCTTTACCTTGGTTTCCTGCTCGAGTCGGACGTCCTCCTGCGTGATCGTGGTCTCGTCCAGTCCAGCCTGTCGCTTGGAGGTCAGGACCTTGGCCTCGTCCAGGTTGTCCACCTTCTGCGCGTCCAACGCGTCGTCGCGGATCGAGATCAGTTTCTTGATCTGGCCTTCGACGATCGACTGCTGCTCTCCGTCCGGTATCTTCTTCTCTTCGGCGCTCAAGTAGACGGTGGAGCTCTTGCGTCGCGATTTGCTCTGAGAATAGTTCAGGCACCTGTGTCCTCTGTTCTTGCTGGCCTCGTCGTCGTCCTCGACGTTCTCTTTCTCTCGATCGGTATCGGTCGGTCCGCACTTGAGGACAAAATAGCTCGGCAGGAGCTTCTCCTGCGGCCCTCCGGTCTCCAGAACCTTCGCAGGAGGTTCTTCCTCCTTCGGAGCAGATCCGACCCATTCGTCCGTGTTCTGTCCGGGGTCCGCCAACTGACGAGCACCGGCATCGTTGGTCCCAACATCGGGAACGTTCTCTTGATAAGGCACGGCTCCGTCGGCGTCCACCTGACCGTCGAACCTGCGGATTCCCTCGTCCTTGGGATCCTCGATCCTCTCCACGGGGATCCTCGCGTCGTCGCGCACCTCCGGCTTGGGAGCGACGTCGTTCCGTCTTCTCTTCTTGGCCACGGCGGCATCCTCGTCTTGCTGCTTCAGGATCTCGCTACCCGGCTCTCCGATCCCGGCGTTCGTTTCTTGGTCGGCTTTCCGCGTCTCCTGTTCCTCAAGGCCGATCTTCCGGACCTCCGGCGCGACGTTCCTTCCCGGCGACCGATCAGCGAGCTGCTCGGCGTTGTCCTTGCCAGCTTGTCCCGGCTGGTCCCCAGCCTCCGGCTGCGAAACCTTGCCTTGAAGACTCCCCGTTTCCTCAGGCTCGACCTTCTCATCTTGAGCGTCATCGGTCCGAGTCTCGGCGAGCTTCTCCGGCACTTGCTCCGGCGCACTGCTGCTCTTCGACGAAGCTAGGCTCGCGCTTGGATCACTCTCGACTGCCGAAAGCTTGACCCCGGGCTCCAGAAGCGGGGCTGTTTCATCGCGGGTCACGCTGCGCGCTCCGCCACCGTCGACGACGAACAGCAGCAGCAGAAGACAGAGGCAGGACCGAGGGACCAGGCTGAGGAAGGTACTCGTAGGCTGTGGGCGTCGCGAGTTGAGTGCTCTCATGGTCGCGGTCGAGAGGCGAATGTCTCGGCCACTTCTGAGCCGGTCTATGGTCAGCCATGCCGGAGAGGTATGGTAATACGCATACCATCGCCCGACGAAGATGCCCGTGAGAGTGCACGTACAGGTTCAGCCAACGAGACGCGGGGAACCGCGAGACTGTGTGGATAGGCAACGGAGGAGCCGGGCATTTCCATTTTTACGCTGCCGTCTTCTCTCCCTCCCCCCCTCCCTCCTCTCGACGTGCCTCCGCAGGGTTGCCGGAGGATCGGGTTCACGGTCTAACGGGTGTAGATGCATTTAGCTCGGTGCATCCTACGGTCAACCCATCGGGAACAGAGAGATTCGTGGAACCTCTCCGAGGCGTTCCCACCGCGCGCCCATCCTCGTTTTATTCTGCACTCTCGGCTATAATGATAGTTTCTTGCCACGGCCGCGAATTAGATGCTGTCCTCCGGCGAACGATTTGAATAATCGAAACGATGCCACAGGCCGGCTACCATCTCCCTCTAATGCCTCCCCTCGCGGCCAACGACGTAACGAGCCAATTAACCTTGGAGCTGCTCGGAAAATAACCTGGCACTCCCCGTCCGCGCGAGATCCTGCCAAGCTATTCGAACCACCCGGTCGTTCGTGTTCCATTCTTCGATACCGCGTTGTGTGTGTCCTTCCTTCGGCGATTATCGAGCCGACCGCCGGCTTCTAGGGCCGACATACATCGGCTCGGAACGCGATCGCCGCGGAAAAACTGGTCCCCTGAGTCTCAGAATACTTGCGGCTGGACGCCGTTATCGGTACAGGGAATCGGGGTTCCAGCAATTTTCACGACTGGTCGATCGTCTGCGTTCACCTTGTCTGGCCATCTTCTCGATGGGACAGGAAGCCTGGTTCGTGCGCTACCATCGGAGAAGCCGTTGAACTCTTGGCGAACGGACACTTTGGTGAACGGGCCAAAAGAGAATGTACCTGTTGTTACAATAGCAGAGCTGATGTACGGCGGCAAGGCGAATATTTCGAAGACCGCCGATTATTTCCAGCAAAGGTAATTAGGTTAAACCCTCGCAGGACGAACGTAGGCCATCCGAAACTCGATTCATACGCTGGCAAAAAGGTAGCTACGCGAGATTTTTTCGTGAGTCAGAAATGACACGGTACCGTCCTCCGAGGGTTAACGACCGTCCATAGGGCGAGGATCGCAGGGCCTCGATTACAAATTCTGCCGAACCCTGAAGCGACTCCTCCGGCGACCGGGATTTTCTCAGCAATTCCTCGGCCGAACCATTAAAGCGTTCCCCGCGTTTTGTACTCTCGTTGCGGATGAAAAGGGAGCAAGAAGGCGGCTTCGGGGAGCCGGGAGGGAGAGGAGGCAGTCGCGGAGATGCAGCACGAACAAAGTGCAGGCAGGCAGACAGGCAGGCAGGCAGGCAGGCAGGCAGGCCGGGTTTCAGGTTCGGCTTCGACGCGGCTGGTTCTGGCGCAAAGGGGTTGTATTTTTAGTCCTTGAAGGAATATCGAGACCAGAGGGACGGGCCAGGGAGCAGGAGAGGAGCACGCCGGCCGGGGTAAAGAATTTTTACGACGCGCATTATTTTCCAAGATGGCCACGTTCGTTCGTTCGTTCGTTCGTTCGTACGTTTCCTTCCCCTCTGGTTCCCTCTTCGTTCGCCGGCTTCACCGAGCAAAAGCCGACGCGGTAAACCTGTACCGCGTTTCTTCCTTTTATCCGGTATGCGGTAGGCTGTCTCTTAAGCCGCGTTCACAACGGCCCGGACGGATCCCGACGGTAATAACAACCATCCATCGAAAGTGCGTTCCCGACTGGTTCACGCGTTCATCCGCGACGTTGCAACGCTCTCGGTTTCGACGGGGGCCAAGCAAATTTCGTGCCCACGGCCGAAACCGATTGTCTCCCCCTGTCCGCAGGCCGGCCGGCGAAATCCGCTAATGATTCGGAGAACGGCGCGTTAAGAGGTCAGCCGGCTATCGGCTCGCTGGAAATCCCATTAGCCGGCGTAATTGCACCGAGATTGCAGACCGGTGGCATTAAAACCGCGGCGCGAACGCTGCTCGCTTCTAATTAACCTAGGATCGCTGGCCAATTGAATGCACGTTTAACCCAAAAACCACACGGTCCGTCTATTACTCCGCGCTCTTGAGCTTGCGATGCGACCGCGGTGGATCACTCGCAGAGAGTACATTGTGGCGCAACGTGATACACGCTCCGGGCAATCCTTCGATTCCGGAACGACGACCGAGAGACAGTGATACCGAAAGTGGGACGCGGTGCAATCGGCCGATGCACGAAACGTTTCCCTCGATTCGTTTCGTGCACGTTCGAATTCTATGTGCCGCGATCGATAGCGTGCAACGACGGCTCTGCGCCGAGGATCGACCGAGATAGAATTAACGTTGTTTCCGCGAATGCAACGTCGGTGCTCGCGAAGAACCGTGTTTTCCGCGGAGGGACGCGCGTCGCTAATGAAGAAACGTATTTGACGTCGCGGTATGTTTTACAACGACGCGATGGGCGGTAATTCGAGGCCGGAAACCGGCCCTGGGATTGGTGGGCGGTCGCGTGAAAAAGCACGCGTGCCTGGAAAGGCAGCGAGGCGATTATCGGACCGGCGGTGCGGCTTGCTGCGGCGTGCCGCGGCAGTCGGCGCGCGTATAACGTGTTCTATGGGCCGTGCTCGAAAAAGTGTTTCAAGCGTTGTTTCCCGTCCCGCCGACGAAATTCCCGGTCAGCAGCGGTGAATTCGAAGCGGCGCGGCGCGGCGCGCAGATCCACCGCGCACGCGTCTCCTCGAAGGCGATCGTCTTTTCAGTTGGAACGGCCACACGGCCGCTCGTCCGAATCATACGGCGACTCGTCCGGGCTCGATTAACACGTCTCGCGAATCCCGCGGTCCCTCCTGCCGAAATCCGCGAGATCGCCGAGCGAACCGAACCCTCGCGTACCCTCGCGAACCCGTTCGCCGAGTGCATCGGGCCCCCGGCTCTGTCGATCAGCACGGTCACGTGACCGTGTGGCAACCGGTTCGATAATGCAGCCGATTGGCTGGACGATCGCGTGCCTGCTGCTCGCGGCCGGTTTTTCGAAATGCGCGAGCACCGAGTCCACTGCGCTGGACCACGGCCAAGTGGAAGCCACGAAGATTTTGCCGATTTCCAAGGACACCGTCGACCCCGACGTTCAAGTGGTCAGAGAGTTCTTGGACGGACTGATCGATGGCGGGACTGATCAAGGTGAGCCAACAACAATCGGACGATGTTTATCTTCGACACCGTCGCGCAGATTTCATCGATAGGCTGCGGATCTTTACGCGGAATTATAATTGCCTGTGTTGGTTGCAAGATACAGAAGCTGCGCGGTCGTTTCTTTCATTCTTTAATTATTTTATCGAGTTGAAAGTAATGCGATGACATTTTTTAATTCTTTAAATTCTCTAAATGTTTTCAGTGTTTTGTATTCGATCTATTCGTTTCTGTCGTGAATGCATTATAATTAATTCGAAAGTACTTTCCTTGCTCGATGCAGATTCAATTTCAATTAATATAGAATCAGCAAGGTCAAAATTATATGTGCGGTCACTTTACGAAACGTAAAACACGCGGTGGAACTTCATGCGCATTCGACGCAATCTTCGACTTTCTAATTTCAAACAATAGAACGTACCGCAGATTTTTTTTTTGTTGTCGGTGATTAACGAAAAGGCGAAGATGTCAATGGATTTTGTAATTGCACAGGGAGCAAAGGGGCGAGGACGTTCGGAGTGAAACGTATACAATTCATGCTGATGCCTATGGTATACAAAATGGGTGTAATGATGACCATGCTGACAGTGTTGACGGTGATCTCGTTGAAAGGACTGCTCATCGGTAAGCACGAATTATGGGGTATTGTTCCCCGACGCGGAAACATAACGGTGCGAGTTTGGTGTGTGCGCGATGCGCATACAGAATCAGGAGACATCGTCCTATTTTATCAATAATGTCCCCCCGTGATTCACGGGGCTAGCTTTGGTCGCGTTTCGCCGAATTTTACCGGTGGACCCACTTTCCTTTCTTTGATTAGTATTGACACCGCCGCGTGCACTCGACTGTGAATCTTTTGGTAAACACTGGCCTGCAGAATGCCAATCGATATCGGCCCACGAGCTCGACGAAACAGAAACGTTTAACGCTAGGTTCGCGTTATATTTTTTACATTTACGATCATTCAGATTGTAAAGATTTATTTGTTACACAGGAAGCTTTAGATGTTCTCCGATCCATAAACTGTTAAAGATTTATTTACGAGCGATCTATTCGATATATTACGGTAAATATTATTCTTATAAACTAAGATAAAACAGTTTCTATTCTACTTTATTTTATTGTATGGTATGCGAGATACGATGAGACGGATCGCTTCTAATCCGCAAGGAAATTAATAAAGCTCGTTATAATTGAAGTTAATAGATCGCCGCGAACCGAATTACGAAGCAATCGGTAACAACGCGTCATGTCCAGAACGGGAAACAATTCGAAATCGTCGGGCACTCGTTAGTCTAGTTTCAGGTTTCTCGATTATTCGGCGCAGCGTGAACTGACACTAATTTACTTGCAGGTGTGACCCTGCTGGTGCTGAAGCTGAGCACGATAATAGCAAAGTTTACATCCGGCTGGCACGAAAATACGTCCCAGCAGCCGATCCACGTGCACGTGCACAACAGTCTGCCGATCGCGCACAATCAGGCGTACAGCGGCTGGATGCCTCACAGCGGTCCAGACGGCGACGAGCATTATTATTACAGAGGATAATAATATGTCGTCTAGCTCTTTCCACGGATGAGAAACTGTTCCACCGACGACGACCACAAACGGAACCAGGCTATCGCGCATCCTGGTGCTTCTTTTTCTTTATCGGCCATTTTTCCATTTGGAATACGCAGCGTCGGGCCGACCGCTGCGGTTTTCTTCCCAACTGCATACGTACGTCGAGACGATCTAGGAGATCGGAAACACGAGGATCGAGGACTTTCTCGGCATTCGGAGGCATTTCTCGCGAACCAAAGGAACTGTACCGATTTAACTTAACCGACATCGACCCGTCGTCCACGGGACTTACCAGAACCCCCTCCGTACCAAGCGCGAACGGGTCCTTCTGGGACCGTTGGATCGAAAGCGTAGAACCAAATTCGTAGATTAAGTCGCTTTAGTTCGATCCCTTCGTTCCGCAAGCGCGCGCGGCTCGCCTTGAATCGCTAGTATTTTTTTTCTACGCGAGAGTACAATAATGTCTCCCTAACTGACCCTCAGATTGATTTGGGAAGAGAAGATGCAATTTTTAGAGCTTCGCGCCTCGTTTATTATAGTTACCGATCGTCGACAGCTATAAAGAGCCGAGCCGCGAGGCTCGAACAATCGAATCTTCTCTTCCCTATTTCTCCATTTTTTTGCGCAATCTGAGCGTCGATTAGGGAGAATTCGCTGTATTTCCGTCGAGCGTCTTGGGAACGAAAGGGTTAAGGAGCAACCGTATACCTCAACTTACTAGTAGCTCGTAAGCATCAACTCCGACTTATTTATGGATCGATGTACACCGTCGCCGAAAGTTATCTATTAAAACCATTGTCAATCGCCACTCTCTGTTGTTCTGTCAGCGTTGTCCCAGACTTTCCGAATGTTTCGCGATCAAGAGCAGAAATTCCCTGCGAGAAATTCGCGGAGACCGAGCTCGAGGAAAATTCGGGAATCGAAAGCGCAAAGCGGGAAAGCTGGTTTTTTACTTTTCAGGGTTTCGAGGAAAGCTCGCAGGTGCTCTCGCAAGGTGGTCGCAGGTGCTCGCAGGTGCTAGAATTGAATTTTCCGCGGTTCATGGTCCGCTGCTCGCGCGCGAGCCCGCAGCCAACCGCGTGTGCACATTCTCGACTGCGGCACGAATTGTATCGGCAGACTGCACACTGCACAGACCCAGTTTCCTGGCTTAGTGGGGTACGCTTAGAGCAAAAAAGGAAAAATCTTTGCTCTCCGCTCCGCAGATCGGTCAGTAGTCTCAAGCGCAGCGATCGGCGAGCTTCTTCCTGGCTGTTCAAATCAAATATTCATAAGAATAACCTCGCGATCGTGCAACGCCGTTATCGATGCACCGTTGACAATTGCTTTCCCGGGATACCGTGGATCAGTGTTACCGGAAGTGGGGAGGCGGAAGCGACGAGTGCATGGAATTAATCGAGACGAGCGATTCTGTCGGTAACGGTCTCCGATATCCAGACTTTGCGCTCGATAGGCGAGGGACAATTGATCTAATAGCAATGGGAAACGCGGCGAGAGATCCGGACGCTTCTCGGCTCTGATCCATTGATCCGCACTTTTGGACTGGAGTCTGTTGATCTTAGATCGTAGGTTTATCGAACTCGAAGCTATGAACGGACCGGAAACGCTGGCTTGGTGGCTCTGTTTCGCGATCGCGGTCAACGAATTCGCCGTAGCCGATCAGGATGAAAAGGACGTCGCGGATTCGAACGGGACCCTGCAATTCGATATATCCCGAGGGATCGAGTTCCATCTCGCGAACAACGAGACCGCTGTCGTCGTACGAATGTCTGCTCTGCTGGCAGGTGAGAATTTCAAGCATAATCGAGACGCTCCGGGTTGGTCATCAGCGTTCAGAGTCTCTTCTTTCAGACGACGAGAGCGAACAAAGGGCCGGAGGAAGATTGAAGTTCAAAGGACTTTTGAACAAGATCGGATCCACGATGATGATGGTCCCTTTTCTTATCCAGGTGCGACGCTATTCCCGATTAAAGAAAATGCCCCGAGCGCTCGGAGCGACTAATTAATAGGTCGAGTCGTAAATAACTTCCGTTTCTTTATCGGACATCTATTTTGTTTTTTTCTTTCTTCGCTTATTTTCTCTGTTTTCTTTTCTTTATTATCTTTACTCATTTATTCATACCTAGTTGCATCGGAAGTTATTTATGACAGTGCATTTCTCGAGAGACAGCTCGCCGAAAAGAGATCACCGCAGTTTCGGTATTCGCGAGGTAGGAAGTAGCAACTGGGTCATTTTAATTGGTCCGATAGTTCTAGCGTTAACGCAGCCAAACGCTAGCCGTTGTAACGAGCACGATGAATCCAAAGAGAAAGTCAAATCGATTAATAGTGCGCGGCGTTAGTTCTGGGAATTTGGTATCGTTCTTTGTTAGAATTTCACGCGCGCCTCGGAGAATCGGCGTCGCGACGAACGCGCGGAGTTCCGCGATCCAATTACCATGCCAGCAGCGAACGCGTTTCAATTAACGACTGTTAACTTCCAGATGATATCGTTGCCCGGCACTCTCGCCTCGATCAAGTTCAGCCTGCTGCGGAGCATCGTCGTGGGAAAGCTGGCGATGCTGATCATTCTCTACAACGTGTTGAAGAACTCGCAAAGATCGGAGGTGGTCGTGGTCCATAAACCCGAATACCACGAGCACTATTATCACAGTTATCATCAGCCGGAAGACGACGACGAGGGTTGGCTGGGTAGATGAAACGGCGTCTTCCGTTAGAAACTGTCACTTAACGAACCGATCTATCCGTATACCTTTCCTCCGATCGACTGCGAGGCGTGTCGTTACGCGATTCGTCCGGCAACGAGCACCGATTTTTCTACGATCTGTAACCGCGCCACGGAAATATACGGTTTATCAACGGTGTTACGATGCTCCACGTAATAATCGACGAAACGAAACGACGCGGTTCCCGCGAGCGATGCTACACGCGGAGATCATCGGCGGCGGGACATTCGGTGACCCACTTTCGGCCCCGGCGTAACGGCATTTCGGTCCAGATTCTGCGGCGATCGTCGACGTGCCGGTTTCCCTTTTCTCAGCCGTTCGATTCAACGTCGAAATCGAAATTTGTATAACGCGGAGTCGATTTCGTTGGACCGTCCGCCGGAATTAATTAAGAGATCCGCCGAGATCGCTGTCGCGGCGAGCAGGAAAATCCGTGTTTTCCGTCGCGAACTAAGCGGTCGAACGAGTCGTGGTAAAAAAGAAAAAAGGGAAAACGTGAATCGGTGGTTTTCGAGGGAAACGACGCAGTCGAGCGCGCGATCGTTACTGGCGGATTTGGATCGGTGTTAGGAACACGCGAGGGAAGTCCGCCGACAGTGGCTTGTTGTTCGAGGCCTCGATATTTGCGATGCGTTTACGTGCCAGAAACCCACCTGCCACTGTACATCGCGTATCGCGTTAGTATGCCGACCGCCATCGATCCTGTATCGACAGCTCTCCCCATGACGGTCGGTATCGGCGTGCCGTTTTCTAAACTATAAAATGCACGATGCGCGCCGCATACCTGGCGAATCGAGCCTAATCTTTGTATGCCTTAGATCGCGAGGCAAGGCCGACGTGCAAGCATTCCGCTTTTACAGAAATCGATTAATCGCCGCGTTTTCAATTAACTCGGCCTCTCGTCATCGGCGAGGCGGCATTGTTCTTCCCGATGTTCCTTCGATAACGTAGAATCGTATCGTTAACAATGTTAATCGACAGCGTTTAATATTTCTGTGGAACGAGCAGTTCCCTTCACCAGAGATACATCCACTCTTCAGAAATAACGCTGACCTTATGGACACCGATTCCTCTGTCAGATTACCTCAGACTTAAGCCAACTGCTCGTCGATGTATTACGAGATCCTGAGAAAAATCTCTGGGACACGGTGCGTTTAATAACTCGGATATTACAATTGACAGCTGAATGGGGAATCATTGTAACGATGGCAACGCTTCGATGCATAAAGAATTTATAAAAATGATAGTCGAATTGTCTCCGTGCTTCACCTTCTACTCGCGAGCGTTAGAATACACTTCGAGGAACCTTTTGTTGTTCGATTGAAAATTTAGCAATTCGAATAGAAGAAATTTTCGATCGAAGATCCACGATGCAGGATCGCTTCCCTCGAGAGATTCGCGGGACACTTTAGCGCGTTTATGTTTCCTCGTCGATCGTGCACCGCCTGTACGCGGTCACGGAGATCATTTTAAACGAGGGGCCCTCGAAGCGGGCCCGAACAAACGACTCCGAGGCTTTACGACGCCGTGAACGAGCCCTCGGCTGGCCCACCGCGAGGATCAACGATTTACGACTGTTCCGCGTCTTTGTGCAATTATTCGAAGCCGCGTGAAAGCGAACGTCGGCCGGCGATCCTCGTCCGGCCTCACGGAATTTTTTCCCCGCGAAGCAGATTCCACGGTTTCCTCTTCTCTCGACGAGAGAATCTTCTCTCCCTCGCGACGGGAAAACATTTTTCCCGTTTAGTTGCGTCACCGTTCAACGATCAACGATCGAATCGTCCCTCCTCGTTTAGTATCGCGAACTTCTCCGGCTGCTGTGAACACCGTTGACGATCCGAAGCGTTCTGCAAAATGATCGGCAAGGTTTTCTGGATTCTTTGCTGTTTTTCGTTGGGAAATTTCGCGACCGGCGCCGTTGACGAAGACGCCGACGAGCGGCCGTACGAGTTCTCGTTCAACATCACCGATTTTCAACACCGGTTCGAGAAGAAAGGTGAGATTCGAGGACACTGTTACTTTCTTTTCGTCTTGACAACGGAAATCCTGCCGCGTACAAGCCTTGTTAACGATCGATTGTTTTATGAGACGCCGACGGAATCGTCACCGGGGAGTTCGGGTTCGTAACAGCGGACGGCGTGTACCACGAGACTGCTTATGCCACCGACGAGAACGACAATTTCATTATCACCAGGATGAGGAACAGAAAGATCACCTCTCGTGAGTCTTTATATTTTTCGATCTCTTGCTCGACGATTCGATCAAACGTCGACGTTACCGTTTCAAGTGAAAGACGCGCTGGAGATATTCAAAGACAGGCCGGAAGCTGCGAAGAAGCTGGTAGAGGCTGTCGCAAAGTCTTGCGGAGGGTGCAAGATTCCTGTGATAGGAGACAATGCAACCGACAGGGTGCAATCTCCTGCGGAATTGGGATCTCTTCTGGGAAAGACGGCCAAAACCAACGCTGGACTCGCGAAACCTGGTACAAGATTTTTTAACCCTTAATCGGACCGCCAATTTCTGTCAGTTATTGTTTCAAGTAATTTTGCACATTTCCAAATTAGCAAGCGCGAATAAATTTATATCGTAACATTGCAAACTTGATGAGCTAGTAGAGGATTGCTTGCATTCTTACAGCGATATCCATGCTGTTAAATTATTACTAGATTATTAAATTGATCACCTATTACATTATTATCAGATTATTAAATGAATCGCCTATTACATTATTATATATTATCAGATTATTAAATGAATCGCCTATTAAATTATTATTTTCTAACATCTCACTCATGAATTAATTTTACAGGTGCACTGCCAACAAAAGGGAGACCGCACCAGGAAAGGAACCGAATCCCGGAAGATCCCAAGGACTCTTCGAATTCAAGACGAGGGAAGACCTTGAACCTCGACGCGTCGGAGAAGAACAGATTAAATGGAACGAGCGAATTCCCGAGGAAGGAAACAGGCGATGTTTTCTATCGCTTCAACTACAGCATCTCGTCGCACGAACACCAGGAAGACGGGTTCAGGGACGGTGCAAAGGACGGCAGCTATCGGGCACAAAGTGAAAATGGTGTCGACACTCGGGTGAAGTATCTGTCAAACGAATTCGGCCATCAGCCAAACATTTCGTTCGTTCCCGGAGCTAATGGGACCGAGGAGAGTCGGCTGAAGGGCTACTCCTTCCTGTGGTACTGGTCTTGAGAGATCTATGGGCCTGTTATCCATGTAGGCACGACCGATTTCTAATAAAGGATGAATCAACTGTCGATCAAATCGTTCGTCTCGCCGGTCCCGATCCTTATCGCGTTCTATTCAAACGATTTTAAGCAGCAGCACGGAGAGTCTCGGTGAACTTTTTTGCAATTTGTGTCGGGGTTCGACGAGTTCTCTGCGTCTGATCGAATTGATAGGGAGCCCGGAATGCGCGACGGTCGTCGTGACACGTTTTCGGTGCTCCTCGCTCTAACGTTGGTCCTGTTACCAGCGAGCAAAACTCGTTCCGCGAAGATCTAGTTTGGCCGGTGGAAAGGCACAGTAATTTTTGGAAATTGCCGACCCGAGAGAAATTGAAATAACTCGCGGTACAGCGTAAATATTAATCAAGGCTCCGAAAGAAAGAAAGTGCTCGGGGTTATTCTTCGTTTGGAAGTAGCAGCCTGCTTTGTCCAGCAACAGCGAAGTTCGACCAGCAAGCTCGGATCTCATCGACCGTGAAATTTTTATTGTCGATCACGCTCGCGTGCTCGGTCGTAGACGTTTGTTCGAAAAGAAAACCCCGTAGACGCGTCGAGAAGCAGTTTTGGAATCGAATAAACCCGTGGGAAATATTTCCGATGCGATTCTGAAAGAGTGGAGTAGCGTCGTTGCGGTAATCGTTACGCGAGAAGCTGGCCCGATCAATCTCGCGATCGTGATTTCGATTAAAAGAGAATCGATGACGTCATAGTAGCGTGAAAAAAACAACGATGCCTGTTATTTTCGATCCCGCGGCTATTTCGAAAGTACCGATTTCACTACGATTCCGGGGCCCCCTCGTTCCTTAAATAACGATAAAGATGCCCGGAATTAGGTTGTATTAGCATCCCGTCGTAGTTTCAAGCGGAATTTCTGTCGCCGGTCCACGTACGTGACCGACACGCGTGCCAAGTTACACGCGCCCGATCCTAAATCCATTATTTTTTCCCTCTTTCGGCGCGTAACGCGGGCAGAGATGCCTCGGACGCGCTATAAAAAATTCATTCCGACCGAACGGCAAACGGATTTTCGAACGTTCATCGATTCGCCGCGCGATTCGCAATTAGCGGCGAAACTTGGTCAATTAAGGTAGGGGACGCGGGGGACCGATCGAAACGCGGATCGATTTCCACGAAAAACGAACACGGTCCGTTAGGAGCACGAATTGCTCGTTAACGATCATATTTCTAGCGATGTTCGATCATCGAAAAGAGACACTGGACTACCGCGAGGAATCTACGCTCCCGCCTACGGGGGACTCCTTCTACGGAAGCGGGCCGGACGCGATTATGCTAATTGATCGGCATCGATTCTTAGAAATATTTTACTATCTAAGTGTTCATTGTTTTAGCACTTGTTTTATGGTCTCTCTAATGCGATTTTTCTTCCGACCAACAACATTCCTATTTTATATTACTTAGTGCATCTTGTGGATACGAAATTGAATCCCGTCACTCATAGAACAGTTACACTTTAAACAGTCTTTTAAATAGGAAGAACATTAATAATGTAAAAAATGATTTTGGAACGTGATGTAACAATTTTTAACGATACCTCGGAATCACCATTAAAGTGCACCATTAAAGTTCCTTGATAATAATTCGACGAAGAGCGCGATGGACCAACAGAGCGTGAAATCTCTTCGCCTAATCGTGCAAAACTCGCGGATTATGCCCGATTAATCGGGTCGAGATATTAAGCAGCAGCAGCGGACGCTTACCTTGTCGGTGCGCCAGGTATTTTTGGAAGTCGGTGGTTCCTCCCCGAGTGCAGAGGTGTCCGCTAGAATTCCTTGGGCATTCGCGGGACCGCCTGAGCCCGGCGTGGCGCGAGTCGAATGGCGGCCAGAATTCCTTAAGGTGCCCACGAAAAGCGGCGGCAGTGGGGGATGCCGGTCGGTGCTCGCCTGAAACAGGACCAGCTTGATTGGCGGAAGTCCAGGAGGAAGGGGTTAGACTCTTATATATGATCGGCCACGCGCCTCCGCAACCACTTTGTGCCCGTGACACGCGGTCCAAGGATAGAAAAAAGCCGGAAGCCGGAGGCCGCGAACCCGAGAAAATCCGAGTCAAGGGTGGAGAACAAGGAAGTCCAAAGCCTGTGCGTTCGCGTGGTGACAGTGTGTCTCAGAGCTCGAATCGTCGTTCAAGAATCATCCGACGACCATGAGGATACCCGCGTCCGCCTTGCTGGCCCTCGGCCTGGCCCTCTGCGCGACCTGTGAACCGATCCAGAAGAAAGAGGACACCGACAGTGCCTTCAACTGCGTGTTCGAGGACAACACCGTCGACTGTCTGAGGACCAGGCTGGCCAGGGATCTCGATCGGACCGAGATCGAGATGACCGGCAAGCTGAGCGAGCCGCCGCTCAGCGCGGTCATGGAGCAGACCGGCAATTTCGTCGCCGAGGTCGCCGACAGCATTCAAAATCCGGAGGAAGAGGAGCCCGAGGTCCAAGCCGGCGAGCAAGGTGAGAAAATCTAGTATGTACTTCCTTGGGTGCGCGACTCCGTGAACCGCGACAGCCGATCGTTCGCTGGATAAATCGAGCGTGGGAATGGGCTTTTCTAGTCCGAGACACGTGGGTGTCGATCTATCCTAGAATCTCTTCTCTGCCGGACCTTGAAAAAATGCCTACTTTTACCGGCCTCGTACCTGCTAGAGTCTTATCGGAACCGGCCCCATGGTCCCCAATCGAGTTACGGGTTTCTATGGAAATCGAGAGAACTTGCTCGTTTCCTCCGTGAACGCAGGATGTTATCTCAAATTCCAAGGCCCTTTTGTAACCATTGTTGCACCGCTCCTTGCCAAGCGCACGTTCATGGATGCCTTGCGAATCGCTTGTTACGAATTTTTGATTAAACGCGCGTCGTTGAGATGTAACATTTTACGACGACTGGGAAGAACGTCTCGGAGGGGTATCAGCCTTTAAGATCTCTCGGGAAATGCAAACTGCGCCCGAATCGAACGCGCCGGCCGATGAATGAAGCGGCGACGTCGGCTCGTAGTACTCGCGAGGACTCGTTTTTATGAATGAGCCGCGGCTGGGAGCGGGACATGGCGGGCATGGGCGAAGTGGTTCTCACGGGTGAAGAAATGCGTGTCTTTAGGTCACCGCCGGCGATCGTTTGAATTTCAGGATCCGATATATCACCGACTTTGTCTCCCCACCCGCGCGCATGCAGGCGGTTTTAATGCCGCGGCTTGGGAAAATCGCGACGGTAACGGTACCGGGGCTCGTTATCGTCGCTATCTTGCCGAGCAAACCGCCAGAAAATTGAACAATTCCCGAGCCGGCGACCTGGCTGGCGCAGCCGATCGTTTATGATGCGTCGCTGGAACCACCGAAACGGTGTGCCGGCCGTCGTTCCGGATATCAGGGTCGCGAACGATACTTATCAAGACAATAGTGACTCATTTTTAAGAAAGCCGCGCCGAAAGAAGTCATCGGGCGACGAATTTCTGGGTCACGGGACTGAATCAGCTGTGGATTGTAGAATCGTGCGTGTGCGCGAGGATCAAAGACAAACGTCGGGACGGCTCGAAGAGAGATCGAGTCGCGTTGGTTTTAGGCTCCGAAACTATCTCGTGGCCCGAGAATTTCGGGTCTCCCAAGAACACGGGATACCGAGAATTCCTCGACCCGCTCGGACGCTTTGCTTTCTTTTTCATTAATTAAACGCGATTCGAATCTCGCGCCGTTTGGACGCGTGGCGACGCTCGCGGCAACGTTAGAAAGCCTCGGTATCCGTGCAGCGCCAAACCATTGTGCGAAGAAGCCGCCAAGCTGTTCGCCAAAATCATCCGCGGATGATAACGCTGAAGCGATAAGTGGGTTCGGAGTAAAAGGCGCCACAAGTCCGTCGATGGCGGTACATTTGAATTGTTTTCAACCAACGAGCAAAGATTGCAGCGTTTAATCAGACGGGGGGATCGTTCTATTTCTAACGGGAAGTCGCTTCTTTCTAAGAAGACAGCAAAACGATTCTATTGTACACGCGAATTGAACAGAGTTGCGACTTCGATACGCGACTCTTTAATTCGATCGGTCGAGGATCAGGGAAAAGTCTGATGCGAAATTTGTGTTCCAGTGGAGGGTCGCAAGAAGAAGTTCGGCAAGAAGAAGCAGAGACAGCTGCAGAAGCTGCTGGCCTTGGCGATGGTGCTGAAAGCGAAGCTGAGCTTGATATTCCAGATAATCGGCACCCATTTCCAATGGAAGGCGGTCCTCTTCTCGTTCCTCACCCTCGTCATCAACTTGGTCAAGTTCTGGATGGACTTGAAGAACAAGCAGCCGCCTAAAGTGATCTATTACGAGCACGCGCAACACCAGCACCACTACGAGCACGACGACCACGATCACGGCTACTGGGGAAGATCCTCGAACGATTCTCCTCAGGATCTCGCTTACTCTGCCCACGTTCCCCAAAAAACTAATTAACGTTGTCCCCCTCCGACCGTCGCGACAGCAACGTCGGAAAGAGAAGCGGTCGAACGGCTTCTCTTGCTCAGGTTTTTAGTTAATTGCTGAACGCGTCGCCGTCGACGCAGCTATTTCCAGCGAACTATTTATTTGTTATTTTATTTTATGTCGCCCTCGCGGTACGCGCCGCGCCGACCCGTTCTCGCGTACCAAAGTTCACTTTGCGTACCTGTCGTTACACCGTGCATCCACCCACGCTGCAGTCCTGCCAAAACTTATTTATTTATTTGTTTCTTGTTTTGTTGTAATTTAATCGTTAACTTATTCACCTGTAAGGAACGTACAAGCAATAAATTATTTTGATAATAAACCGACCCGATTTCCTGCCTCGATCGAGCAACTGCATTATTTTGGAAAAATATTTCTCCGATTGAGATGAGGATCTTGCAACTTTAGGTATTTCTGTATTCTGTCTTTTTCTATCATAGAGAGAGAGAGAGAGAGAGAGAAAGAGAGAGAGAGGGAGGGAGTTCTATTCGGTACCATTTCTTACCTTGCTCCGACTCGTCTTCTCTCGTCTTTCTCTCGTTGCTTTCCATCTTAATTCGCCCCGTTGAAATATCGAAAACAAAACGGTATCGTTCGGCATTCACGGCGAAGCGGATCGTAGATCGTCGGTTTATCGACGGTGTGGAAGAAACGGTGATCGAGACGCCGCCGCGAAAGTCAGCCGATCAATCGCGGCGACCTTCTTCCTCGTGGATCATGTGGACCAGAGCCCGAAGCGATCGGCGCGTTTGTATTCCTCGTGGACGTGCGAAGGAACATGCGAATGGAATCTCCAACGAGCGCCGATACTTTCGGGCTGTTCACCTCGCCGGGAACGCGATCGACCGATAAACACCGAAGATCCCCGCGTTGATCGCCGCTCTCCCACGTTTCTCTCCCGCGTTTTCCCTCGATCCATGGAAATCCCCGGGCGATAATTTTCATCGAACTGTCAACCGACGGCGGCGATCGCTTCGCCACTCCGACGTTATCAAGCGGGAAAGAGACGAATTGATTCCTTCCAGAACGACTTCAACCCTCGTCGAGGAAAGCTATGAGATCTTCGAACGATCTTCAAATAATAACAAACTTTATTGGAAGATATAGGGCAGCGGTTACTGCGAGGCGGCCAATTGCCGTGCCTTTGGGTTCCTTTCGGGCAAAATTAACTTTCTATTTATCGATTTCATTAAACTATTTCTATTCTTTCGTTTTGTTTATTTTTTAATAGAAAAATCGCTCCATCACCGTAATCTCTATTTTATTCAACAACTTTCGGCCATCTTCCGCGTGAGACCTTCTCGTTTATTTGCAAAACAGTCGTCGAGATGACTGCGGCGCTGACACAAGGAGGCCAGAGGTGGCCGATTATTACCGATGCTCGAGGTGACGCGGGCGAGTATATCACGATGGCGGTTTTTCGTGAGACCCATGGTCAATGACCAGGAGGCGCAGGGAAAGATTTCGTAACCCCGCGGTGGAACTGTTAAGTATTCATCGGCCGAAGGAGTCGGCGCGGGCCGGCCTTAAAGCGGGAGAGACGAGCTTGCCCTCGGCTGGTCGAAGCCTCGTTTTCGTGGCTGGGATTGGACCGGGGCCAACCGGACCACCGTGTCTCGGCGTCAAGATCATCGGAATTCGTGAGAATAGCCGCCGAAATATCCTTCCGCCGTGACCCGGCACGGCTCGGCTCGGCTCGGCGCGGCGCGAAGCGCGCCGGGGCCGTTTATAGAGTTTGATCGCGGTGGCCGCAGCTTTTTCCCGATCGGCTAACGAATTTCAATCACTCCGCGCGCGGCCGGGGGTTTATTTCGATTCCAGCTCGATTTGCATCCGACCTTCGCAGCCGAGCACGTCCTCGGGTTATTCATAGAGAGGACTCTCGCGCCTCACCCGATTCCTTTCAGGAATACTCGTCGCTTCTCGTTGCTTCAGGACGCAGAAACTTAAGGGCATATTAATGCCCCTTTGTCTCGCTCCGCGAATGANTCTTGCAACTTTAGGTATTTCTGTATTCTGTCTTTTTCTATCATAGAGAGAGAGAGAGAGAGAGAGAAAGAGAGAGAGAGGGAGGGAGTTCTATTCGGTACCATTTCTTACCTTGCTCCGACTCGTCTTCTCTCGTCTTTCTCTCGTTGCTTTCCATCTTAATTCGCCCCGTTGAAATATCGAAAACAAAACGGTATCGTTCGGCATTCACGGCGAAGCGGATCGTAGATCGTCGGTTTATCGACGGTGTGGAAGAAACGGTGATCGAGACGCCGCCGCGAAAGTCAGCCGATCAATCGCGGCGACCTTCTTCCTCGTGGATCATGTGGACCAGAGCCCGAAGCGATCGGCGCGTTTGTATTCCTCGTGGACGTGCGAAGGAACATGCGAATGGAATCTCCAACGAGCGCCGATACTTTCGGGCTGTTCACCTCGCCGGGAACGCGATCGACCGATAAACACCGAAGATCCCCGCGTTGATCGCCGCTCTCCCACGTTTCTCTCCCGCGTTTTCCCTCGATCCATGGAAATCCCCGGGCGATAATTTTCATCGAACTGTCAACCGACGGCGGCGATCGCTTCGCCACTCCGACGTTATCAAGCGGGAAAGAGACGAATTGATTCCTTCCAGAACGACTTCAACCCTCGTCGAGGAAAGCTATGAGATCTTCGAACGATCTTCAAATAATAACAAACTTTATTGGAAGATATAGGGCAGCGGTTACTGCGAGGCGGCCAATTGCCGTGCCTTTGGGTTCCTTTCGGGCAAAATTAACTTTCTATTTATCGATTTCATTAAACTATTTCTATTCTTTCGTTTTGTTTATTTTTTAATAGAAAAATCGCTCCATCACCGTAATCTCTATTTTATTCAACAACTTTCGGCCATCTTCCGCGTGAGACCTTCTCGTTTATTTGCAAAACAGTCGTCGAGATGACTGCGGCGCTGACACAAGGAGGCCAGAGGTGGCCGATTATTACCGATGCTCGAGGTGACGCGGGCGAGTATATCACGATGGCGGTTTTTCGTGAGACCCATGGTCAATGACCAGGAGGCGCAGGGAAAGATTTCGTAACCCCGCGGTGGAACTGTTAAGTATTCATCGGCCGAAGGAGTCGGCGCGGGCCGGCCTTAAAGCGGGAGAGACGAGCTTGCCCTCGGCTGGTCGAAGCCTCGTTTTCGTGGCTGGGATTGGACCGGGGCCAACCGGACCACCGTGTCTCGGCGTCAAGATCATCGGAATTCGTGAGAATAGCCGCCGAAATATCCTTCCGCCGTGACCCGGCACGGCTCGGCTCGGCTCGGCGCGGCGCGAAGCGCGCCGGGGCCGTTTATAGAGTTTGATCGCGGTGGCCGCAGCTTTTTCCCGATCGGCTAACGAATTTCAATCACTCCGCGCGCGGCCGGGGGTTTATTTCGATTCCAGCTCGATTTGCATCCGACCTTCGCAGCCGAGCACGTCCTCGGGTTATTCATAGAGAGGACTCTCGCGCCTCACCCGATTCCTTTCAGGAATACTCGTCGCTTCTCGTTGCTTCAGGACGCAGAAACTTAAGGGCATATTAATGCCCCTTTGTCTCGCTCCGCGAATGAATCGTCCCCGATCGACGTCCTCCTCGTAGAGGAGGAGGAAGACGGTGGTGGCAGAAGAAGAGGCACGGTAAATTCTCCCTAATCGACGCCGAGATTCTGCACAAAAATGGACAAATTGGGGATCGGAGCAACCGATCGTGGGCAACAATAAAAACGAGCCGCAAGACTCGAATAATCGTATCTTCCTTCCCCAAATTGTCCACTTCTGTGCGCGATTTAATCGTTAATTAGAGAGAATTTGTTGCATTAGGTCAAGTCGTAAATAACTCCAGATGCACCCCTACGAGTCACCGGAACAAACGAGTTTTTGCTTTCATTGAATAAGATAAGGGTTCGAAATAAATAAATAACGATTACTCGAGCCTTTTATAGCGGTCGACAAAATCGATAACTACAAAAACGAGATGCGAGACTCGAATAATTGTCCATTTTCGTATACGATCCGAGCGTCGATTAGGGAGAATTTACTGTACCTAGGGCCACCTGGCCAGGGCAGCCCCGGTTGAATGGCGGCGCGGCGCGGCTACGATCGGTGAATGATCAAGCAATAAAGGTCGAGAGTCGAGACCGAGCAGGGCGGTGGAATTCGTGGTGGGTGCAGACCGTATCATTCGGCACATCGGAATCGGGGGAATTTGCATCGGGCCTTCGAGGATGATGTGGACGTCTGGATGGTCATTGGCAGACCAAACGTGATGAACTTACTAATATCTCGCTACCGAGAATCGGCCATTCATACAATATTCAAGATCCTTGCGGCGCAGCCCGCTATATAACACCCTTCCGCGGATCGAGTCATCAGTCTTCTCAGGACCCTCGACCGCGGAACTCGCTTTCCGAATATCCTACCTTCAGCCGAAACGTCTTGCCGCGATTCCAAGAACCGGTCGAACGTCTGTAGAAAATGACGATTCCTAGATCGCTCCTGATACTGTCCCTCGTCGGCCTCTGCGCCGTCGTTTGCGGGCTCCCTCAGCCGCCCAAGTCTAGGCGACCCGCTCCAGATTTCAAGGTTTGTCACACCTTCCGCGGAACGTCCGTCGAACGTAGGGAGATCAACGCGTTTCGTGTTTCACGTAAAAAAAAGTGCTTATGAAAAAATTGTGACACGGTGGCATTGATGCTTTGAGAATTTATATCTATGTGTAACAATGCCTATGTCTTCGACGACATTTTTATCGTATTTAATGCGGTAATTAGAAGTATAACGCTGGGACCATCGGGCCCTAATCGCGACTAATGCGTGCTATTTTGTAACAACGAGAATATTTTATTTTCTATTATAACGTATACTCGAACAAAAAAGTTTATGCGAGAAAATTCTCGTAGAAACTTTTCTATAACATCAAGAACTGTAAACAAAAAGATCGGAGAGACCGGTCGTTTCGACCGGTTCGGTAGTTCCGGTGTTGAATACGACTCTGTGAATTTTAGAACAACACCGGAGGCTTGGAGCTGCCGGACAACGCGACGCTGATCAGAGAGAACATCGTGGACAACTTCTCCTGCCAGGACAGAATCTACGGCTACTACGCGGACATGGAGAACGACTGCCAGGTTTTCCACGTTTGCCTGCCCCAGGCTAGGGGTTCGACCAGGTGGAGTTTCATCTGTCCCGCGGAGACCGTGTTCAATCAGGTGAGACGATCGCCTGGAACGAAGTCGGACGTTAGAAAATGAATTCCGTCGCGCCGGAAAGGTCTTAACGATTCTATTGTTTTCGTTAGGCGACGTTCGTGTGCACGCGAACGGAGAACTCGATACCCTGCGAGGAGTCCGAGAGCTTCTACAGTTTGAACGAGGCGATCGGCAAGGAAGCGGACGAGGAAGAGAACGACGCGGACCAATCGACCAAGGAATCGGACGCGGTGGAGCCGATCTCGAGCAAGCCGCCGTCCAGAACCTCTAGGATTCTGAACAGGAAGAAATCGTCGCGACGCCAGTGACGCGTGAACTTTTCCCGATTAAAATGGTTCTCGATTCAGAGACTGTGCACCGCGAGAGATTCTCGCGGGTTATCGGAACGAATCGAATCTTCTGCTTGCCTTAAACTCGGCCGAGCCCTGGCTCACCTAGTATTTTTAAGTATCGATCTAAAACGTTCTTATTCCTCGCGCAAACGAGTGTAGGAGTGCGTGGTATTCGCGTGTGGCGAGTGGAAAAACTGTGCAATATATTGTAAATCTTAATGTTACGTAGATCGACGCGCTTGGAGCGTTGCAATAAATGGGTTAAAGTGTCCGTAAAAAATTTATTGTACGTAGCGTGTCGATACAGCTCGCTAATACTGACAATTGGATCACTATGACAATAAGTAAGCAGCCTTAGAGCGCGATTAACAGCGTTACACAAGTGTCCCAAGCGTAGAACCGGTGCGGGAGAACACGGTGCTTCTGCGTTGATTGATAAAAAAAGAAGAAAGCGACTTAACGACTAAATCAAACGTACGGCTAGCGATTAAGGTGGCGAGGGGAGAGGTCGTCGGATCGACGCCTCGCCTCAACGTTTATTTACAACGCAACAACACTGATATGTATCGATATTGGTTTTTTTCGGTGACTTAACGATACGACGGAAATAAATAAAGAAACAGAAGCGAGTGAAACGATGCGTTATTAACTGTACAATCGAAGAAGAGACGAAGATAAAAAGAGAGCACACGCGCACACGTACACACACACGCAAAGCGGCTAGAGATAAATCCAATCTGATTTTCCTTCTTTTTGCAAACGAACGACGCATCCCGTTCGGTTCGTGAAATCGCGAAAGTCGCCGAGAACTTGACGGCGATCATCGGCTCCTTTCCCCTACCTGGTATCTTTGGATAACTAGCCATTATGTCGTGGATAGGCAGTGCCTATGCCTCCTCTAAATGCCGATAAAATAATTAACAACCAACAATCAACCAAAGTCAACCCTCCTACTCCTCCTCCTCCTCCTCCTCTGCCCACACACGATCTCACGGCAAGCCTCTTTCGAAACAGAAACTTTTCGTTTTTTAGGTACGTACGCGCCTAGAACTCGAGATGCGATAACTGATTCGTGCCTGGTCGAACTCCTAACGATCGATCGCCGAAACTAACAACACTCAAACATCGAACAACGTAACAGAAATAGTATATCAGATTTCAACGGCTCCCCGCGTTTATTTCCGCGATAGTGTATGCTACTACGCTTTATACAGGTGCAACTTCTATTTACAATACCAAGCGATCTAGAAATCGCTTCTTGCATCTTTGTGCAACAGATATCTCGCGATCTGCCGGTCTAATTTCTTTGCGAGGGCGACCGGCCCACGAGCGGACCTCGGACAACTCGACGAATTACAGTAACGTCTCTCTAATTGACGCCCGGATTGACCACACAGAAATGGGCAATTTGGGAAGAGGGGATACGATTATACAAGGCTTGCGGTTTATTGTTATAGTTATAAATTGTCCACAATTATAAAAACGAGCCGCGAGGCTCGAATAATCGTATCTCCTCTTCCCGAATTTCCATTTTAGTGGACAATATGAGCGTCAGTAAGGGAGACATTACCGTAATTCGTAAGTAACGGATGATCGGCTGTATCCTCGGGTCCGCTCGAACGTCGGACGGTTCTCGCCAACTAACTTACGCCTAGAACTATGCTCTGTACAAATAAAAAAGTCGTCTCCCGCGAATTGTACCCTGTGTCATCCTCGAGGCGGTTCTTCCGTCGACGGAGAAATAGAGCTCGTTCGAAGAGAACGGACTCAGGCCTCGGAGTCCATGGCCAGATCGGCCTCCATCTCCTCGGGGCTCCTCAAATCGATCGCGAACCTCTTCTTCGCGGTGTTCCCGGCCATCTCTGCCATCTTGTCCTGCGCCTTCACCGTCCTCGAGTAGATCTCGAAGGCGGTGGCCAGCGCGTAGGTCAACTGTCTCGCGTGGTGCTTCGACTCGCAGACGAACCCGTGGCACTCGAACGGCGAGACCCTGCGGAAGTTCTCCGTCTCCCTGACCACGATCATGGAGAAGACCCTGGTGTAGACGAGGTCCTGGACGCCGTACGAGATCGTCTCGATGGCGTACATTCTGGTGATGTTGCCCTCCTGCTTCCTCTTCTCCAGCGGCAGCAGAGCTACGCCGTCTTGCGAGACGACCAGCTTGATCAGTGGCAGCATGGTGTTGGTCGGTAAGGCCTTCGCGGCAGCAACCATGTTATCGACGGGCCTCCTCGTGTGCTTGATGCCCCAGAGGCCCCTCGCGTCATGCGAGCCCAAATATTTCACCTGAAAAGGGCTCCCCTTTAGTCTCCCACGCGCGCCTTCGCTCAGGTAGATAATTAAGCCTATGCGGGGGCCTTGGGCCCTCCGTACGCTCCGCGTCTCGGCAAAGGGTCCCGTGGGCCTTAGTTGCCTCGCCGAGCCGCGCAAAGGACGGTAAAAATTGGAGAAAGTTACGCGGAGAAATTTAGAGACGCAGGGCCCCATTGTCAAGGACGTGTTCGTAGATGGTATTTCGGAGATCGTTAAAGGAAAAGATCCGAGCGTGGACCTCGCAGAAGTCTGCGAGGAAGCGAGATTTCGTGGAAAATTTCGGGATACACGGGGTCCATTGTCACGATCGAAAGCATGTTGGGTTGCGCCGAGAGGTTACGAGACGGTGGACGGCGCGAGCCTGGGGCCTTTAAACTGGCTAGCGGGAACAGGTAAAAGGTAAACAGCGAAACGTATACCTGAAACACCTGAGGCAGGTCCGTGGAGCCCTCGAAAACGTTGTTGTCGATGGACAGCCGGGACAGCCTCGACACAAGGTCCTTCTTTTTGTCGGCGGACGACACGGGGCTCTTCTCTTTCTTCATCTCGTCCTGGCTTCTCTGCGGTAGAAACGTTTTCGTCCGGTGTAATTCTTTCTTTCTCTCTCACGGGGTCTATCGGAGCCGAACGAAGCCAGCCGCGATCGTCGCGAAACGAGACGAAGAGACGGTCGAAGCGGCGAACGTCGAGTCGATTGAATCGCGAAACGGTCGATCGTTTGAGAACCTCGATTGGTTAATGGAATAAATGGGTCTCAAGGTCGGTGTATCGGTACTCACTGGACTGTTATCTAACTGGCAGGCTCTCCGCGTCTGTCCAGGCTTCACTTTCAGGTGATACTCGACCACGTTCGGTATGTTCGGCGGGTTGGAAACGACTGAGGAAGCCGGAGAGGACGAAGAGGCGGTCGCTGCCCGCTCAGGGACGGCGTTTCCGGCCTCGGTCGCCCCGGATAACGGCGCTGTCATCACCGATCCAGACCCACCAACGATCTCTCCCGCCTAACGAATTTCAAAATTTACCCCTCTCTCGGTCTGCCCGTTGACCAGCCCGCCACCAACCACCGGCCGCTTTTTGTCCGGCGATTTCCCATCTTTTTCTATTGTTTACCGGTCACACTCGTGACCGTGCACAAAGCCGGCAACAGGAACCGATTGTTCCGCGGCGTTAAATATCGAATTTCAAGCGCGAGCAAGCGATACGAGATCCTCCGCGCAACGCGGGGACAAATTCTGCTGAATTTGATACGGGAAAAATGTTTCGATATTCCGACGAGTTTTCAGAACATCCGCACTGGAAATCGAGTCCAATAGCAAGTGATATAAAAAGATAAATTTATCGTGCGACCTCGATTACAGATTACCGTAATTTTGGATACTGGAATAACCATTTCAGAAGATCGGCAGAGAGGCGTGTTTTCTTTGGAACACCTTTTCAGGTGCGTTATCTTACAGTGCATTTCCGATAGATCGTTGCCTTCGTTCATGTTGTTGAATAGTGATTTCATTAGGGAATTCAGGGAATATTAGAATAAATTAGAATAAAATTTCCAAGACTAACAGGAGTTTCATAGGCAGACTATGATAGTAAGAAACGCACCTTCATGGTCGAGAGCCTGTGCTCCACTCCGTCGAACTGTTTGACGTTTCTGAGGACAGCGTCGTCCCTCTTGGTGAACCCGAAGTCCTCGTCCTCCATCGCCGTCCCCTGTCAGCCCTCGGAGCTCTGTCGCAAATAGAATCAATCCTTGTTATCGTGGACGGAGATCACCTGCCTGGTAATAACCCAAGGACAACGTTGAATACATATTCGCGGGGAAGAAGGAGTGAAATTTATTCGTTGGAATTCCAGGGTGGAGCGAGCGAAACGACCGAGAAATTGCTGTTGCCGCAACCGGCTGGCTCGCGGGGCCGAAAAAGGGGCAGAAGAGAGAAAAAGGCCCCGAAGAAGAGGGGCCGGGGGAAGATTCACCCCTCGCGCGCGTCATTATCGTCATCGTAGCTGCGGCCCGAAAACGCGTTCAACCACGGAATTAAAAACGGGCTTAACGTCTCTCGGCTTAAAACGGAAAACAGCTGTCGCGCGGCACCGCGCCGCTCGGCTCGGCTCGGTTCGGCCCGAGTGCAGCGGCGTGGCACGCGTTGCACGCGTTGCACCTTGCGCGCCGCACTCGATCGTTTCTTTCGCTCTCTTCCCGTCTGGCCTTCGACGACCGTTTCGTCTCGCTGCGAGCAGCCGATCGGGCTCCGATTCTCGAACCGTTCGCCGCGACTCTGTCGCGGCATCCGGTAAACTTACGAACGCGCCACCTGAAGAACCACTATCTAATCGTTCTCGATTAATCCAGCTGTCCGCGTTTCCTTCGCGTGGATAACAACGACTCGAAGACAGAAAGATACGCGCGGCGCGAGAATGTCAATGCGCGAGGCGGCGCGAGGAAGATAAGCGGTAGGTGTAACGGTTAGAGAAGGATCTTAACACACAATCGTTGCTCGGGGAGTTGCAAGATCAAATCTAACAGTCGCCGGAGATGCAACCGCATTGTGCACAAATGACAAAACCGCCGTTTAACGTTATAGACGGTGCTTGTGGGAACAGAAACCTGTTAAATGCAGGGAACAGCCGCGATTAAGAGCGAATAACAATTATTCCGAGCGATCTAGCTCGCGAGTAAACGCCGGTTAACGCGTTAAGCTCCATAAGTCGCCGGTGACTGACGCTATATCTTCCGTTCGGTCCGCATCGGTGACTGACGGTAAATAATTTAAAAAATTATATATTCTTCTGCATAAATAAATATTAAATCGTTTGGAGACCACGAAAGAACGTATCTAAATATTACTTGGTAGCCAAAAAAAATGCTAACGAGTATTTATGTATCGATAATTTACATATTAATGAGCATGCTCTTTTTACAGGGTATATCACCTTGTCGATGACAATAGCAATAAAATAGACATATCGCTGCTTGTTTACTTAAACCGCAGATTCGCTGATTCTCTGTCGGTCTTACTGTAATACATTTACATATAAGTAAATTAAATTTAGAATTGCAATTGAAGTCATTGAAACCCGGTATTCGCAGGTGTCACAGAACGCTGTGACGCGGACTGAACGGAAAGGTAGACGGAACACTCTCTGTTGTTGTTGTTAAAGGTACGCGGGGGTAGAACAAACGACGGTTTCGCTGATCGGTCCCGGTGAACAGGTTAATCGAACGAAGCGAATGCGGGAACGCGCGTAAAACACGATGCTATCGGCCGTGCCGAGCGTACACGGGGGGCTCGGCCTGTGAAACGGGCCGGAAATGAGTCAGGTGACCGATAGTCAGGTGGAAAAGGGATTCGTTAATGTATTCCGGCCGTTGGTCAGGTGTGGACATTCTGTTGTTCGGGCCGCCGTCGGTGAATCTCGTGTGCAGTTACCGTTTCGGAAATGCGCGCCGGGTTCTAGGTGCTCGCGTACGAGAGAAACGGCGCAGAAATTCAAGAACGAAGGTCGAAACCGGGGCTCTCTCTCTTTCTCTCTTTGGACGACAACATTCGTGAAATATTACTCCGAGTTCCCCCGCCCCCTTCGCTGTTCAACCCGCGCGAAACCCGATAACGAAAAAGAGAAAGAGAAAACGGGGCAGCGAATTAACGAGAAAGCATCGATCGGATATCGAAGCGACATCGAACCGCGGGGCGTCGCGACGATGAAAGTCGCGCCGATTTCTCGGACACCGTGTAGACCGGCGGCGTTCGTACACCTGTCGCCCAATTACACCCGCGTACAATGCTAGAACTTTGTTAACGCGCCTGTCCACGTACCGGGTGCTCGGCAAGTATCTGTCGTGTCGGCGACGAATTTCGGCGGGCTCGTCCGGACGACTGGTCGCCGATTCCTCGAGGATGACTGCGTTCGAAAAGAAAAAGACAGAAGCACGTCGCGGCGGTAACGGTATCGTTCCAGGATGAAATGGAGCAATAGACAGTCACTGCTCGTTATTACGGTTTTCCGAGATTTCCGTTACGCCTCGCGATATCGGACTTCGTTCCGACGCGACGCGCGACGAGACGACAAAACCGATCGCGATCCTCCTCGTTTCGTTTACACGTTTTTGCCGCGTCGACGCTCTCCTTTCGAGCAAAAGTGGCGATTAAATCAATCCGAGCGTACCGGCGGGCTCGCTGAATATAAAGCGATTTAGTAGATTTAGATTCTGCCGTTCCGAGTGTCCCTTTACAGAGCAGAGAACGTCCGTCGTCGATCGACTGGACGATTAGGGAACAAAACCGATCGCGATCTTCCTCGTTTCGTTCACGGATTTCCTGTGCATCGGCGTGCTCCATTCGAATCGATTTTAAACCCTTCGGACGGTGGACTGTTTCGGGCATTTATGGCAGTCGCGGCTATTTTCATTCGTACGTTAACCCTTAGGGGGCCAAAACTATTTCCAGTTTACTCACTGCCAAGTCCAGACTGTTTTTTCAGACGAAGAGAAATTTTTTACTGAAAATTTTTGTATCAAATATAGAGAAGAGATATTCATTTTTTGAATAAAACTTCGTTGATATA